AGAAGAAGAAGAAGAAGAAGAACAGCAACAGCAACAACAACAACAACACCTTCGGTAGGGTAGAACGTTCGCCCTACGAGAAACCCACCAGCAGAAACATCCGTCACATCTTCCACAGCATGCCAACAAGTACGATGGAATAGAAACTTGAGAAGCACGATCCTTCTCGGGGTGTACTGCTGTGGTCCTTTAGAAACTGCGTCATTCGTCTGGTCAAGGAAATTTCCTGAAATTGTTGCAAATACAATGCTACTTCCTACGTTCCCAAGAAGCCAGTGGACGTAGTGATGAGAAGACGTGAGCACAATGAACAGAAGAAAGAGTGTGTGCACAGCATTTAAGTTTACGGAATAGTCGTCTTGTGAAGGATATATAATCTGGAACTCTGTCGATAGCAAATATACCCATTTTCTCTTTTAACATGGCCCTTAAGACAAGGTCTTTCCTGTAATTTGGTCTAAGTGCTGTGAGCATATTATGTCACAGATTGCTGAGTTTACAAAATCTCATGTTAAATCTGCTCTGACATGTGAGACAGTAGTTCATGAACACCTATAATTTTGGAGCCAGAGAGGCAATGTTTATTATGAAAATGTTGTAGCAGTCCTTTGCTAGAGCCACGTAAAAAAAGAGAAGGGAGCTTTCAGAGGGTTAGCTTGATTTCTTAGCATCTCATCCTTTGGGTTGAAGGAAGCCATAGAGCACTTCAAATGCTGACTGTCAGTTAGAATGCGAGAGATATGTTGTGTCAGATGTCGAATTAAAAGACTAGTGTGAGGGCCACAGGAGGCTTACAAAGAAAGCGGGATTGGGTTCTTGCTACCATATATAGATATCACTGCACACATGTTAGCATTACATGTCCTGTTGCCTCCCTCATATTCAATGGTGTCATCACTATAATTCAGTTGGTTGAAGAGTTCAGATTGTGAATCTCCTCATTATGCAGTTTTGTCCTGCCTCCTTTCATTTGAAACCTCTGTGGTAAACATATTGTTCTCATCAAACTCTTCTAAGCTTCCTCAACTCACGTTGTTCTGATATGAATCTTCTTAAGCATTATGAAAGAATAACTGAGCCATACTCTTAAAGAGTATAAATCATGTAAAAGCCTTTGCTGAGCACAGAAATTGATGTAAATCATGGCATAGCAGTTGCTCAATTCCCGAGGGAATGGTTGAACCTTAATCACTAAACAGGAAAAAGACTGGGAACTTGATGTTATGTGTCAGAGATGGGCTCCAGGCATAATTATCTATTATTTTGGTATTTATTTTTTTTTTGGCGACACTTAAGTTTGCAGGGGTTGTAGCATGCCAGATGAGAGGGAAGATGTTTACTTTCTGTTTACCAATATTGTTGAATTTCAGAGGGTCTGTGCTGTCGAATGGGTGACCAATACTGTTCTCCATTTCCTGGAACCGACATGTAACCATGAGATGTGGGCAGAAATCTGTTGCATATTGGCTGTCTTCCTGTGTTTGAAGTTGGGATCGTGTATTCTTAAGTAACTTGATGGAATTTTGGGATTTGTAGGAATGGGAGCTACACTCTTCAACTTCACAGTGAGAAGTGTAGAATCGTGATTCGGATGTCCTGTGTACGTGTAAGTGAAAGTATTGACCCGTGCGTGGTTCATATGCATTTCATAGGCTATTTAGAGAGAAAGCTTTTATTGTTCGTATTATGTTTGCTAAGAGCTCGGGGAGGTTGGAAGGCACTGAAGTAAGAAGACGGGTGTTCAGTGCAGAAATTGCATGTGGTCTGAATAAGAGAAGGGAAGTGGGAAGAAAAGTTGTGCTTGTCTGTTGGGGGGGGGCTTTTTTAAACTTGTTACGTGATGGAAGTTGTAAGTACAGGACTTAATGAGTGCATTTGTACAGTTGGTGGGCGTTCACAAGTTCTGTGTCAATCACGCCTACTAGATGTACCAGTTTGTTACTAGACTGTGACGTATGTGGCAGTTGTCATTTAAAATTACCTGAATTTCGGATTGATTCTCTCCAGTTGTCATTCCTAGCTAAGATGCCCTGTTTCCACAGGATTTGAATGGTATCTTGGTTTCGTTTTCTTTGCTCCTCCAGCCCACTTCGCTTGCTAGCTGCAGTCCGTTCGAAAATGTTCCCCTTCTTAGGTTTTTCAGCTATATCGCAAGTGTTGTCCATGTTTTGTCAAACCAGGTTGCCTCCTGTAATGCTATTTCAATTCAGAGTATGTCGTCTACTACACTAATACTGGCATGTATGAAGTTGGTATGTTCCAAGTTATAATACTTTTATCCGCATTCGTACTCCAAGGTGTTGCAACACAGCGGGCCACAAACACATACAGGTCAACATTTAAGAACCGTTCTCTCGCAAACGACAATAAGGCACACATTCGGCCCTTGTGAAAATAAATAACAGGAGGGATGATACGAACCACATTCTTGTATGATGTTTCAAATACCAATTCTGTCTTTCTGACTAGCACCAAAAGAAGTAACGTCTATTTTATATTCACAAGACTGTGGAGTCTGAAAATAAATGGGGCGCATCAGCTGTTGGTCTATGTCGATGATGTGTGTGTACTGAGTGATAATTCAGTTACCATAAAGAAGAACACACAAAGTTAATTGATGCAAATATGATTGTTGGTCTAGAAGTTAAACGCACAGAAAACTATGTATATGTTTCTGTCACGTCACCAAAATGCAGGGCAGAATCATGACATAACAAGAAACAGATTTTTTTAAAACGTATCTGTTCAGATAATTGTAAATGACGATAAGAAATCAAAACCTGATTGAGGAGGAAATTATGACTGAACTCTGGTAAAGCTTGCTACCATTCAGTACAGAACCTTTTGCCTTCTTATCTGCTGTCCAAAAAAAATAAAAATTCTGGGTTGGGTGTGAAACCTGGTATCTGTCATTAAGGGGGAACATGGACTGAGAGTGTTGAAGAAAATATTCGGACTGAAGAGGGATGAAGTGAGAGGAGGTTGGAGAATACTGCATAATGAGGAGCTTCATAATTTGTACTCTTCTCGAAGTATAATTAGAATGATCAAGTCAAGGAGGATGAGGTGCGCAGGGCATGTAATATGAAAGGGTGGGGGCAGGAGAAGAATGCATATATGATATTGGTGGGAAAGCCAGAAGGAAAGAGACGACTGGGAAGACGAAGGCATAAGTGGGTGGGCAATGTTAAAATGGGTTTTAGAGAAATGGGGTGGTATGGAATGGATTGATCTGGCTCAGGATAGGGACAAGTGGAGGGCTCTTGTGAACACGGTAATCAACCGCCTGGTTCCATAAAATGCTGTGACATTCTTGAGTATCTACAGATTTGGATTCTCTTCAAGATGGGGTCAGCTCCATAATTAATTAAATAAGTGGGGTCTTTTTCTTTTTCTGTGAATGGCGAACAAATAACGTTTTTTGGTATGTGCTTTCAATAGTGCCCATTGTCATTTTCTGATGATTCAGATTAAAAGTAAATTCTGCATTCTTTGCAGTGGTTGTTTACAAAATAAAGGTGCACTGGCTCTATTATTGTGTTTGACTGTTGAGTGTCCAACACTGTGTCTGAATTTCAGGTAGCATAATTTGTTGAGGGGCTATGCTACAAGCTGTAGGGTCGCGGGTTAAAGTCCCAATGAGGTCACTGAATTTTTTTCAGTTGACTGAATCCTTCGATCCGCACTATGGCTCTGGGGTTTACTCAGCCTCTAACAAAAATGAGCAACACGAACTAATTAAATAATTTTTGTGGGGAGTAAAGCACGTCTTTCATGTAAGGTTGACAACTTTACCGCTATCTTTGAGCCGTTTGTGTAGGTAATGTGGGACTCTCAATGTCTCACATCCCTATGAGTCTTCACAGCCTGGTACAGGGATAGCTTTGCTTTTTTTTTTTTTTTAATACTATTTGTCCTTGCATCCATGTGCCTCAGGATTTTACCCATGGTCAGGGACTGGCCTTCATGATACCTTTTACAACTATATTTATTCTCCCTTTATGTTGTAAAATACTACATTAATTATATTTCATGCTAACTACTATAATTACGTCAAAGAACTAAAACCACATGTTTGAAAAAGGTACGATTTCTTGTGTGGCATGTGACAGCAATTTTTCCCACACAGTTTTGTGACCAATAACATATATCCTAGCAAGGCTGTAGGCCCTTTAGTGATCCGTATCCTGAGATCCATTGTAATATTATCCACCCACCTACGTCTTGTTCTTAGTGGTCTCTTTCCTTCTGGCTTTCACACCAATATCGTGTATTCATTCCTCTTCTCCCCCATTCGTGCTACATGCCCTGACCATCTCATTTTCCTGACTTCTCATTGTACTTTGAGAAGAGTACAAGTTATCAAGCTCCTCATTATGTAGTTTTGTCCAACCTCTTGTCACTTCATCTCTTTTCGGTCCAAATATTGTCCTAACACCATTTTCAATCCCCGTCAGCCTGTGGTCCTTCCCTGTCAGAGTCCAAGTATCAGACCCATAGAGAACCACAAGCAAAATTGTAGTTTTCTGCATTGTAATTATGATGTTCCTAAACAGCAGAGAAGAAGACAGAGGTTCTGGACCGAATGGTAGCAATCATTACCCAAATTCAGTCTCCTGTTAACTTCGTCATGAATCAGATTTTGATTTGTTGTAGTCGTTCCCAAATAGGTATCTGAACTGTGCAACGTTTTGAAATCATCTGTTAGCTATCTTTATGTCATGATTCTGACCTGCCCACTGGTGACTAGAGGGTTTGTGAACACTTACTTGAGCCGGTTCCTCGCTTGCGGAGTTTCTGTTTCTTCTACCCTTCAAAACGATATGTTTATCCGAAACGTCTTTTAACACAATATCTACACGGTTCCACATCCCAGAAGATGCTTTCTTCAACATTTGCTTAATATTCGACGTGTTTACTACTTCATGGGAACCTTACTATCGTCAATTAAAGTTTGTTGATTTTCTTTGTGGTATCTATATTATCACCATATAGATTCACATCATCAGCATAAACGAACTGATTTATTCATTATTCACTGATACTAAGAAAAACACAATATATATTGCCACAAAACAAACAATCCAGTTAGGGTGTAATATAATACTTGTTTTGAGTGCTTCCCGGCGAACGACAAAATGTATCATTCCACTGCCACTGCTCAACTTGCAGATGCAAGTGAAACGACTGAAACGGTTCGACCCAAAGAGCTGCGTTGTCTTCCTTGTGTACATCATCTACGGATATGCTATTGTTCTCACTTTCCATCTCAGCCACTGTTGTTTACAGCTGTGAAATAGCTCAACAAAAATGGTCAAACCCCTACTGGCCGCCTTCGTTTAAATGACCTTGGTTTGATTGTGTTGTCTGAAGGTGTAACACGGACCGCTACCTATTGTTAGGTAGCCATCAGTAAGTCGTTTTACACTATACTGTACTGGAAAATTATGCTCTGTGAATAAATTCATTACCCTGTCTCGGTTATGTGGGGAAATGGTCGTGTACAAATTCAGTACCATCAAGGGGTCGATTATGGTGTCCCCGGCAGATGAGTTTAACAAAATTCATATCGAAAAATATATTCCTTTTTGTTATCAAGTATATTAAAGCAGGATTTTTATTTGAGCAGTGGTTTTGCACAGTAATGGGCTGAAACAAATTCCACCGAGTTCATGATTGATTGTATCATCCGGTGATTTATATTGGCGACTGTGACGGCGTCGTTTAGTATGTGGATGTATGGACTCACGTCTTCTCGGCCTCGCGGCTAGTTTTGAGGTGTGTCGTCAGCTTCACGCACCGGCTCTCCCTCCGGAGGAAGAACTCCCGGCATCGATTAGATGGTATAGTGAGTGAACCCCACAGCCGGTCTGGACCACATGGAGATTGAATTAATTTTTGGTTTACATTCTTCTGTTTGAGTTTTTCTTTTCTTTTTCTGGCTTCCCCTTCGCCCGTTTCAGCGCCCGTACTTACCTGATATTAGGCCTTTATTTCGACTGGGAATGATGAGATGGCAAGAGATTTAAAGATTCAATTTTCAGAAAGTTCCTATTACGATTCACCAATAAGTAATTAAATTACGTAATTGTTTTCCATATTCTGCCATCAGTCATAAGAGATTTTGGTCATGTAATGATGTTTGTAATTTTTGGAGGAAGGAAATTTTGCCCTGCACTTAATTGATTAAGGATTTCGCGCCGAAGGCGTATCGGTGAGTGGATGTATAGACCCATGTTTTCTTGACCTCGGCACTAGTTCGAGGCGAATGGTCAGCTTCACGTGCCTGCCTTTTTATACACTGAAAAGGAGCTCCTCATAACCATTAGATATGACGGTGGAACTCCAACCAGTCGGCCGTCTGGGTCGCCGGAAGTCGCTAAAGGAAAGAACACTTGGTGCCTCCTCAAGAGAGAAAAATTGTTTCTGGAATTCTAAACAATATTTTGACGATTTTATATACATTAAAATTGTCAAAATATTGTTTAGAATTCCGTAAGTGAAATTGAAATTTACATAACAAGAACGATTGCCACCTTACTTCGTACCAAAGTTTTTATACAACCAAGAGGCTGGGTCTAACAGCGCGGTTTTTATATTGGATAACACTGGAGACTGGGGTTTGTCGCCTCCTCACACGCAGTAAGTCTAATTTAAGGGTGTTCATTACAACTTCCCTCCCTCTCTATTGCCACGTACACCACGCGTTGGTCGCCACTGGCGACCGCACGCGACTGTCTTATGCCCGACTTGACGTCACCTTCACCTGTATCTCTTCCTTGCCCTGTGCTGCGACCGGTAGTTACCGTGTTTCCCTTTCCCCTATCTCAGTCTAGGATGTCTAGAAGTTAGGTGGGAAGGGAGGAGAATTGTGGCTGCTGGTGGTAGTAGGTGAGGGTTCTTTTCATGTATGATTATTAAGATGCCTCGCTAGTAGGGAAAGTCGGGAGTAGCTGGGTTCTGCTTCGTAATGGTAGAGATGAGTTCTCATATAGGGTCATACGGGCCGGACAGGAAGAACCTTCGGCTACTGTCACACACTACTACAACCAACTTTGCACTTTCAGTAAATATTTATTAACTCTTGATAACACTGAACTTAACAGAAAATCAATTTGTTTACCGTATGTTCATTTGAACTTATACGACTTTGCGAAGTGGCGTAGTTTTTGTGTGTGAATTGACCGAAAGTTTTATGAAAACTGCTTGAGGTAGATAGATCACTGTCTGAAACCTGAGGTCCACGAACCACAGCATACAAGAGAAATCCACTCCTCCAACATATACTACTAGTCTAATTTGAAAAATTAGAGCTTCCCTAAATGAGTGAATTTCCAGTCATGTTGCTTTGCTGGTGATTCTAGCAGTTACTGACCTAACACTAAGGTTGACAGCGAATTTAACTATTAAAATCAGGGGATGAAACTCTAGCACTCCCTCTCCTAAGTTATAGCCGTTCCAAAGTGTCAGCTCTCGAATTCTCAAAGACCTTCCGATTGCTGAAGCTACCAGAATTCCAGGAAATGTACGAGATGTTACTTCCTGTCCACATAGGAAAATTTGAACTATTTACACTTCTGAGTGTAAAAAGGTGGCTATCTACCACATCTTTGTATAGTACGTAGTCTTAAGTTAGTACAATTTCAATTAATACGAAACGGCTCGACAAATTGTGGTGAACGGTTACAGCATTTAACATCTCGGACCAAGGGCTTTGGAAAGCAGTGGGACGGATAAGTATTGCATTATAATTTATAGGAATTAAAAAATGAAAATGGGATTGAGTTCACATATGCTAAGAAACGCAAAAGAATATATAGGGTCTGGTGTCTACGTCCTGAATTGTTTCCTGGGAAGAGAGGGAAACCAGAAAATTTGTCTTAGATTCCCACGTTTAGATTGTTCAAGGATATATTTTATTGGTAACACGAGAGTTTTCGGGATAGAACAACAGTTGTTAAAAATAATTTTAATTTTTTGTATTAGGATTTAGTATATCGACTTTCTATATCGTATTTATCAAAAGTCTGTAGTGTAGTTGCTCTGCCCCTTCAGTTGGCTCTCACGCACATTGGTCTGGAAGCAGAAGACGACCAGCAATGTCAAAATGAATAGTCTAGGAGGAAGGTGTAAAAGCATAAAATCTGGTGCGAAATTGTCAGTTTTTCCGAGAATGGTATCTGACCGTGGTACGTTTTAGTTGTCCTCTGCGCGTCCTGGTTAAGAGCAAAAGGAAAGAGCGACGGGTCTCATTAATATGTGGACTTGCCCGTTTGTAGTTAGCGTGACGGTGTGACTTTCAATAAGTATGCTTTGGACAGTATGTTCTAATAAATTTGTTCTTTGCAAGCTGTCGTTTACAGAGAAATGGATTCTACTTGCCGCTGTTATGTAATAGTTAAAGCTTGATATAGCAGTGTTGCCAACTTTTAAGGCCTAAACTGTCTGTTCTGGACGTGTCTAGTTTAGATTTCCTTGGCCGCTCTTGCTATACTGTTAGATTTTTGTAAATGCATGAAATAATTATCTAAATTCAAGCAACCGTAAGAAGTTAGATAATAACTGAGTCTCTAGTTTGGAGAGAACATTTTCAGGATTGTGAGATGTTGGTGACGCTGTAGCTCCAAATGCAAGATGGTGTCAATGGCGGTTCTGTTTTTATGGGAGTGGTGTTGTAATTCTTCCAGTTTCCAATGTAAAGGTTATTATTTTCCCCGTGGCAGCATGTTGATATATTTCTCATTATTCTCATTAGTAGTTAAATAAATCTGTTTGCTGTAATTGTTTCAGCATTGTTATGTAAGTTGATAACCAGCTCTACCATTTTGCATAACTGTGAATCATGATAGTGTTGTTAATTTACGTACCCAATTAAGATTGTGTCTTAAAAACAGTGTACATTATGTCGCTACTAGAATCGAGAGTAGTGTGATGACAATGGATGCTGACATCAAGTCCCCTGGTGTGGATGTTCCTGGGGTGAAGGGCGATCCCAAGATTTGTGGTGTGTGTGGTGATCGAGCTCTGGGATATAATTTTAATGCAGTCACTTGCGAATCCTGTAAAGCCTTCTTTAGAAGAAATGCTCTCAAGAAAAAAGTAAGTTTGTCTTATTTTTTTCAATTTACTCGTGAACGACGGGAAACCAACAGGCATTCCAGAAACGAAAAGAGGGCCTATCTGAAAGACAAAATTGATGAGCTTGCAATGATCAGCAGGAACAAGAACGTTAGAGACCTGTATAGAGGAATAAATGACTGTAAAAGGGGTTACCATCCTAGAAGTAACTTAGTGAAGTATGAGAAAGGTTGTCTGCTTGCAGATTCCCACAACATTTTTAATAGGTGGAAGAACTACTACTCGCAGTTTTTTAATGTACATAGAGTCAGTGATGTTAGGCAGATAGAAATATATACAGCTGAGCCGTTAATACCTGATCCTAGCCCTTTTTGAGGTTGAAATTGCTATTGCAAAATTGAAAGGGTGTAAATGTCCAGGTAGTGATGAAATTCAGGCAGAACGTATTCAGTGTCTATTGAAAGCCTCATGTTCAAGATCAAAATCTATTTGTAGACTAAAATTGTTCTTTTTGTGTGAGAGCGTGCTGTAAAAGTTATAACGGTTGATTGTAAAATTCTTGGTTAATTGTTTGTGAGCAACACACACTTTTATATAAATAAAAAAGAGCTGAGTATGAATTTCCCCCTTGATTTTGACATTGACATTTTCCTAGTGTTCAGAGAGACTATGCTTTTCCGTTACAAACTTAGTGTTTTGCTGTGAGTCACCCTGGAAGACTTTAATGTCCCTTCTATCCCCGTTTGGATTCATCCAACATTATTGCTGATGCTGGAAGATTTGAATGTCCCCTTCCATCCTAAAAAATTGCTGAAAGGATAAAATCCCCCTCCTCCCCTCTGGTTTTTGTTGTTGATGCTGCAGCTGGTGTCACTGCAATTTTGCCATACTCCTTTGACCATCAGATCGTTTGTCATCGTGTTTTGGAATCTTGAATGTGCTCTTTGTATTTTTTTAAATTCCCAAATTGTTGCTCCGATGAAAGGATGGTATATTTTTACCAAAAATATTTCTTTTTTCCTCACTTTTTTTAAAATTAAGGATAGCCTTGAAACATAGGACGTAAATTGTATGTATGATAAGAGTTGAAACAGCAGATCCACTTATAAATTTCTTTTTCAGTTCAGGTGTTTGATTTGGCTTGTGTAATTTGCTTATTTGTCAAGCACGCAAGTTTTATTTGGATACTACCTGAGCTGATTCTGAAGTATTTTGTGGTTTTCCGAAATCTTACACAAATGCCTGGTTGCTTCCTCACAATAGGCATAACTGCTTCCCGCTGTCCTTTCCAAGCTGTCATTCGTAAGTCTGTGATGTTAGGCAAAGGAGTGTTATTGTTCAATTATATGTACCACATCAATAATTGTAATGATATTTAAAATAAATAATATGAAAGACACCTAACACTGTCATTAAGACACTACATGTAAACGTTTACACTAAAAGTGACTATTAAATACTTTATAATGTCTTTAATTTATATCATATTTTCTTCTATTTTGCAACATGTTTCGGCCGCAGATGGGCCATCATCAGGCTAACTTCTGATTGGTGATGACACCGCTATACTGTATGCTTGTCTTCCATGCTCTCTGGCTTTTTTTTTGTTATATATCTAATACTCCGTCATTGTATTCTCTTTGTTTCTCTCACAGTTTTGTATGTAGTTTCTTTTGTTTGTGTGTCTTTAGTTCGATCTTCTTGAGTGTTACTTCATGAAATATCGATTTTCAGGGAAAAAAGGAACAACTTCAAACTTTATGCAGTAAATATACTTAACACAGTATTTCACTATGTCAGACAATGTAATGTATTGAGCTTTAGTGGTAGAATTCAGTTTTCAGCTTGATTCTTATAATAAGGAGACTTCTACAAAATTCTCTTCTCATTTTATCCAATTATTGATTTACCTCCATTTTCCATTAAAACCTATAACTCTCCGGACTCCCCTTTTGATACAGTGTTGAAAAATAGTCTGTGAATTAGAAGCGTACATGTATTATCGAATTTTATATATTGTTGCAGGAATTCCGATGTCCCTTCACTGAGACCTGTGACATTACTGTTGTGACTCGTAGGTTCTGCCAGCGTTGCAGGTTGCGAAAATGCCTTGCAATAGGAATGCGCAAGGATTACATCATGTCCGAAGAAGATAAAGTGATGAAGAGGCAAAAGATTGAATTGAACCGTGCTAAGAAAAGGCCTCTCAATGATTCAGAGAGTCATTCCAAATTAAAGTGCAAGCCGTTTGATGATAATATAGAGTCTGTGGCAGATGCAGGGCTTTCTATGTCATCAGTGTCCAGTTGTCCTGAACAAGACAGTGTGTCAGCACCAGATGTTAGGAAGACCTGGGTTGCAGATGGCCTACAGTCTACTGATAATTTCAGCAATGTGACTAGACTTAATACTGTGAGCCCTCGAGCTTCCATGTCTACTGACAGTCATCAGATGTCAGAACCATTCCCTTCTCCCACTTCAGCTGCAAGCATACCTAGTCCATCTTCTCCTCCAGATAGTGCCACAGTGGCTGCTTCAAAAACACTGGAAATGCTCTCAGACAATACAAACAAGCAGATTGGTGCTGTTAGTGTTATCACATCACCAGTTGTTACACAGGGCCTTGTGCATCCTTGTTTGAGTGATGACGATGGGTCTGTAATGCAGAGGGCCATACTACATCACACATCCAGAGAAGCACATCTTCCTGAAACTAATGAGACACCTCTGCTTTCTTATCTCATTGGTAGTGCAAAAGCTGATGATATGTCACCTGAAGGATACATCATTTCATCACCACAACCAGCCCCTGTTGTTTCTGTTATAAAGAAAGAAGCATCAGTGTCCCAGAATGTAAATAGTTGGGACAGTAGAAGACAGAATGATGTTATCACATCAACAGACGGACAGTGGACTGGTGTGGTTCGTGACAACTCAAGGGAGAACGCAGCCAAAGAAATCCTGCAAGATGTACAAAGGTATTTTGTTTCTGTCATATCGTTCCTTTCTGGAACATTTGGAAAAGCATAAGTGAAATATTTTTGGCACTGGGAGATTATGATCTAGAAGCATGAAGTGGTGTAATAGCAGTAATGGACTAGTGTTACACTCCCATATGCAGAATGTCACATATCTGAATCATTGATTAGAACATCATCATTTGTTAAGATGTGTGTCATCTTACGTTTTGTTTGCGGAGGAATACAAATATTTTCAGGTTGTGGGTTATACAGTATACTCACCAGAAGTCAGAAGGGGCAAGTCTGGTGAAAAATTGTATGGTCCATGTTTGTAACGCATTTCTTAGCCAGGAACTCGTGAATTTTTCCCAACATATGCAGGGGTACTGTCATGGTGGGGAATCCACTTGTCAGGCCAGAGTTGGGGTCATTTCCTCCAAACAGATTCCCATAACCTTGTCATCACTTCCTAATGACACTGCTGATTCATTGTTTATTCTTGTGCAATGAATTTATAGTGATATATTCCCTTGTGATCAAAGAAACATACAAGCATGGTCTTGAACTGAAAGCAAGACATGCGTGCCGTTTTCATGTGAGGTGAATTCTATGTTTTCAGCTGTGTATTCTGTCATATTGTTTCTGCCTCGCATTGAAAATACCATGCTTTGTCACCGGTAATGACCCTATCAGACATCTCTGCATCATGTTCAAGGTCAGAGGAAATGTAATGTCCAGGTTGTTCTTTGTCATCTCTCAAGATTTGAGGCACCATATTTGTGGAAATTTTTCTAATTCCCAACTTAGCTATAATAATTTGTTGTACTGTTCATAGTCAATTATTCTATTAGTCTCACACCAAATCTGTGTTCTGAGCAGACCAATGTTTGTATCGCCACATTTGAATTTATCCTTTGCATTTTGGCCTTCCACTTCTTGGGTCATACACATCTTCTCGACCTTCCTTGAACCGCATATGCCCTTCAGAGAGACTTGATTTCTTCATAGTGTATCCATCTTAAGCCACTGTTAATAGGGCTAATGTTTCACTAGCACTCTTACTAATCTTGACACAAAACGTAATGTTTATCCTCTGCTCTAGATACTTATCACTTATATTTCTGCCAACATTATACCATGGACACGCACTGTGGCTCATGTAACCGCATGTTGGATCATCTGCAAGTGTGCTTGTGTACATGAGTTTGCCTCACTCAGCAGCCCAGCGACAAACTGGTCATTTTAGGATTTAAGTTGTCGCACCTTGTGCATTCACTAATACATTTTGCTATAGACATTCATACTGGCTTGTATCACCAGAATATCCCTTCTGACACAAATTTTTGTCCGTGTGAAAGTAGGAACATTGTCCCAAAACCAGTGTTTCACAGACTTATAAATTGGGACTCCTGTAGACAGAGTCTTGCAACAGTTGTTAATTTCCTAAATGGGAAGTTTAGATTTAGATGATTTGACTGTGGTGCATACATTTGTAATCTATTCTGATTTCAGAATTCCAGTAGCACCAAATTCAATTGAGTCCATACTGAGTGAGGCCATAAAACTGGAGTTTGAAGCCTACAGCTCTCTGGCAAAGTCTCATCAGAACTCCCGGGAACTGAATGATGCTGAGAGGGCCAAGTTAAATGAGTTGATTGTTGCTAATAAGTGTCTTCATGAACCTCTGGATGATGACCTTTCAACCTTAGTGGGTGATGACACACGATTCAAGGTTTGTTCTGGTTCACTGGAAGATGCTGAGTGTATGGGCACTCTTTTACTCGTCGAAGAGACTGTTGGCTATTGCTGATCTCAATGTGAGGAAACTAGTTTCTGTACAGTATGGATAGGAATTTCAGTAATCATAATATGTACATAAGATGACGTGAAAGAGAATTATGAATGATGTACAGGTTTTTGGTACATAAGGAATTATATCAGCAGGTAAAAGTGTTGAGTTTGTTAGTGATAGGATATTACTAGGATAATACTAAGAGGTCCCTGGGTTAATATCATCATTCCAAATGTTCATTCCCCAACAGAAGATAAAATTCATGATATGAAGGACAGATTCTAGAAAGAACTAGAATGTGTATTCAGTAAATTCTCTAAATACCAATACAAATTTTGTTCTGAGATTTCAGTGCCCAAAGTAGGGAGGGAAGACATTTTCAAACCAACAGTTAGGAATGGGATCTTACACAAAATTAGTAATAATAATGTGGTTAGAGTAGTACGCTTTGCGCTTCCGAAAGTCTTAATGCCAAAAGTACAATGTTCCCGCATAGTAATATTCATAAATTTAAAATGACAACTCTTAATATTAAGATGCACAACCAAATTGACCATATTTTGATAGCTAGGAGATGGCATACAAGTATATCAAATATATCCTTCATGGCAGTAGATTGTAATACAGACTTCTGTCTGGTGGTGCTAAAAGTTAGAGAGAAACTGACAGCAAATAAACAAACAACACCCAGAGTTCATATGGAGAGGTTCAATCTCAAGAAATTAAATTAGGTAGAGGGTGAAGAGCAAAATTGTGTTGAAATTTCAAATAGGTTCCGAGCTTTGGAAAACTTGGAAACTGAGAGTCTAGGTTATTATGAACCCAAGAAGCAAAAGCCATGATTCGATGAAGGATGCTCAAAATTATTACACCAAAGGAAAAGAAGCAAATTGCATTGGTTACTGGATTGAAACAAAATAAATGGGGTTAATCTGAACAATATAAGGCATGAAACCAGCAGGCATTTCAGGAATAAAAAGAGGGAATATCTGAAAGACAAAACTGATGAGCAATTAGTAGCTGATAATATACCTGTCAGGAGCCATATGAATCCAGCCATCCCTTCCTATTTTGTTGATTTGAGTTTTAATATTATCTTTCCCTCTGCATCTAGATCTTCTAATGGTCCCTTTCCTTCATGTTTTTCAGCTAAATTCTCTTATGTACTCCTATCGACTGCATGCTACATTTCCTGTATGATCCACGTTGATTAGATGATTTTAGTAATATTTGATTAGTACAGTTTCCAGTCTTGTATAGTCCAGTCAGTATATCAATTGGCTACGGGCTGAAGGAGTGAGGGGTCAGAGCTTAAGTCCTTGTAGTGTCAAGAATTTTCTTTTCTCATGTCGTCCAGTCAAGCTCTGGGGTCCACCCGACCTCTTTTCAAACTGGTACCTGGCTCTTTCCCCAGGGTTATTAAGGGCTGGGGTGTGAAGCTGGCCTCTCATCTTCCTTCAAGCGCCAAGGTAAGGAAAAGTATGGACTTTACCTTTCAATTTTCTGATTCAACTATGCATAGGATGTACAGTGTATTTGCAGCTGTAAAAATGTGGAAGCCTCGACATCACAAAACCATATAGATCTACATGGCCTGTTACGTGGATAGCTTTATCTTTACTTTCTGGTTTCTCAACAAATAGTTTCCATAATGATCTGTTTTGTGGCATTGAATGGCCCTAAAATGGGCTGTTTGATAACATTTCTCTGCTCATCGACTGTATTGCACCTGAGTGGTCACTTTTCTCCATTCTGGTATGTTGGACCACAATGTATGTACACAAACACCTTCCATATTCCAGCTGTGTAGGTGAGGGAGCAAGTACCTGAGAAACGTTGGGAATGGTTCACACATCCAAATGGTGCAGAGACCGACTAGCAGATTAAACACTGATGCTAGAAGAAAGGCAGTGTTTTTTACTGTTTCAGATTCTCTTTGAAGCTACTTGGATTTTGTGATGCTCAGGACATGACTGAATAAATATATTGCTATAATTTTGAAATTGTTATCTCCTATCTTGTGAGCAGAACAGTGTAATTAAGAAGAGACAAAAAGTTTTCTAGCTGTGTGTCACAATATGATCTTGCTTTCAAGGATTCAACTGCACTCAAGTTGTTGAAATATATTTGTATAGTGTTCTTTGTGTGTCATGTCACAGGAGAAGCACAGAAATTCTGTAATTATGGTTATAGTCGTAGCAGTGGGTGCTTTAATTTAGGATACACCATATGTAGATGTGTTATGACTGTGGAAGTATAAGATTGCAAAATTATGTGTTCTCTTTAGTAGCATGTGAAGCTCCCTCCCCCTAAGATAATCTTTGTCCATATGTGGAAGGGTGGTAGTTGACATCTATGTGTCTTATTTTGGTTGGAACCTTACCACCCAGGCTGTGGCTATAAAACTGTTAATGCTTAATTATCCCACGTATTTTATCTCCTTAATGCCATCAGATATGTTCTAATTTTTTTTTTTTTTTTCAAAAGAAGGGAAGACATGGTCTGATTAGTACAATCGAACCTTTTATGAAATCTTAAAATAATTATTGTTGGTTTAGACTAAAGTTTATATTAGTGGAAGGAATGATAGATGTGTTTGGTGTTTTAGAAATTTTCAGTACTATATTCTGAAATTATTTTATTTGTCAAGTTAGTTTTGTTTGCTCAGATATCCAGATTTTTGTAATGGAAGCCAAAATGTTATAGATCATAGATGATGGCATGTCAAAATTAAAGTAAATTAACGACTTGGAAGTTGTTTGTGCAAAAGTAAAATTTATAGTCTGTAGTGTTTAAAATGAAACCATTTTCTGTATTTAGACAAGTGCAGAACACAGTCCAGTGCTGCTGGATGTGATCAATTTGACTGCTATCGCAATTCGTCGCATCATAAAGACCTCCAAGAAAATCAATGCATTCAAGAACATGTGTCAGGAAGATCAAGTTGCACTTTTGAAGGGTGGATGCACTGAGATTCTTATTCTGCGTAGCGCAATGACATATGATCCTGACACTGATCTGTGGAAGGTAAAATATTCTGGTGTTCGTGCATGTTCCTTGGCTTTTGAGGACTCATTGATGTTCCTGATGCATGCTAATTTCTTTGACTTTTATATCCCTCATTTTGACTTCTCTAATGTTTTATGTGGAATAAAATTATGAAGCCACTGATTATTTAATTCTCTTTTCATTTCTGCTCTTTTAGGTCTAATTATTCACCTCAAAATCCTGTTCTCAAACTTACTTATGCCTACTCAACTGTACTTGACATGATGTGTGAAATGTTTTTCAGATTCCTCACACGCAGGCATATCTTAACGTGAAAGTGGATGTTCTGAAGGAAGCAAGAGGCAACATCTATGAGGAACATCAGCGCTTTTTACGTACATTTGATCCTCGATGGCGCACAGATGAGAACATCATGTTGATACTTAGTGCTATTACTTTGTTCACACCTGACAGACCGCGGGTAGTCCATCATGATGTCATCAAGTTAGAACAGGTTTGTCTTACTTGGTAGAACCTGCTGTCCATATGGTAACCTCTGCAGCAGACTGATGCATACCTGTCCAGACTGTCTTTCACAACACCCATTTCTACATATTGAGTCATAAGATATATGCAGGTGTGTTTTACGTCCAACAGGATTTGCAGGTTTGCATGTTGGCGATTAGAAAGTAGTTCTGATTTATATGTGATTTTAACAGTTTATTTAAATCTGTGTTGTACATATATTGTCCTCATTGCCAAATTCACTTACCTCTAAATATTAGCACAACTTATCCAATATTATTTTTAGACAGCAGCAAAACCTACAAGTTCATGTAATTTATGGTGCTGATATGAGTTTTAATTTTTCATATCCAAATAATACAGAATTTTGCCAGAGGAGGACTTTTTAATGTTCCATGGATTTCTTATATGATTTGAGCCCATAATCATCTTCAAAATATTTGCTTTTCATTAGGAACAAGGAAAGTGTATGTTTGACTTGTCTCACAATGCCCAACCATATGGCCCATATCAGTTATGAAAGAGATTGCCATATTTTACACATCACTCTATCCCTCCATGACAATTTGTGAAGGTCACAGTATGCTGTAACTGATTTGATGTGTAGTGTCTTTTAGTAAACTGTCTGATATTTTGGATTCATTTTTTTTTTGGTGGAGAATTGCTTTCATATCTCTGAAGCTTTTGTATACATACTATCACAAAAGTATGTTCGTCATCAATATTCTTGATGAAGCCGATGATGTACATAATGGAAGGAGTCTTCAGTAGACCAACTCCATTTTCTAGATCTTGTGTCTTCCTTCCAAGGAAATGTAACTATTGTGAACTAAACCGTAATGATATATAATTGCAATTTAATGTTTGATATTTACTAAATTTCATAAGACTGTTGTTAACAGTTATACTTTGCACATGTAATGACTTGCATAATACTTGGCTATAGTTTTAGAATTAGGGTCATCATTCAAACTGGAATACCTCAGGCAGACAAACATTGATGAAAGCTGTGTCGTACCTGATGATAACGGAATGTGAGCCTTCAAGGCAAAATGTAGGTTGACTATATGTGTGTGTTCTTTGAAATTCATGTAGTTGAAACCAAATACTCTTGTTTCAGAATTCTTACTACTATTTACTTCGTCGTTACCTGGAGAGTGTATATGCTGGGTGTGAGGCTCGCTCCGTCTTCCTCAAGCTTATCCAGAAAATTTCGGAGCTTCACCGCCTCAATGATGATCATGTCCGAGTGTATCTAGATGTTAATCCAAAAGATGTTGAACCTCTTCTCATTGAAATTTTTGACTTGAAACCACACTGATAACATGTGTAAAACTTATACGTACCTGATTGGGGGAGTTTAATGCAGGGTAAGTGAAGTAATACGAGCTTGAGTTTGTAGTCCTGTACATTATACTGTAATAGTATAATAGCATGTGAATTGAATATTGCAAGTAATATTGCTGAATGGTTCGTATGGCAGGCAGGAAAAAAAGGCATATTTGCTATGTACATACACATTATGTGAATGTAATTTGTTTTACAAGGGGTAATATAAAAGTAAGTCGTTCTGTATTGTACAAATGTTCTGTGGGATGTTTTGCACTGTTGGAAGCACAGGGCTCCATATATACAGTTTCTGTTCACTAGTCATTTTGGAGCCTGTAGAGGACAGCATAATATCAGTAAGCCGTAGTAGAGGAATGTTTTTATATTCACCACCCGTGTGTTCCTCCCTCACCGCATGTACAGGAACATATTTCTTGAATTATATTTGATATCCATGGCATTTTGGAAATTGTCTCTGCTTCTCTCTTCATGTAATTGATCTCCATAGTGACATAAATGTTATTACTTCTCCCTTTTTGATATTAGTGCTGAAAGTTGTGTTCAGATTCAGCAACTTTTGAATACTGGACTAGTATGCTCAGGAATTTTTGTTATTAGGTCTACTTAATATTTCTCATGTGATTACTTCGTTAAGTGAACGTATGTAACTCCCACCTTGGCTTGGTTGGCTGATTACTGTTACAGTGATTGTTGATTTTTTCAATGTCCAAATGATCCAATTTTCTTCTTTGTCAGTGATTTCTGTTTTCTCCCATGACATGTCCCTTATTCCACAATTCTTTGTTATTTCATTTCTTGAACACAGTTCTGAAATGAGCAGAGTTACTGTGTGTGGTGGAGTGAAGACTAAAATTATTTTTAAGTTGGAGTGGTTTTTGGTGACATGCCTTTTGTACCAAGTTTCAAGAGAATCTTTATACTGGTTCAGAAGCCAATAATGGGCTAGACATGCACGCCTGTTGCACACAGGGCTCGACATTTTCACATGTTTCAACAGGAAAGTGTGCGTCTTTTGGATGTGGATAGTATGTCACTCCTTTATCAACCTACCTACTTTGTGTCATTGTGTAGTGTATTTACACTTATGTTGTTACTAGAATTTCTAGATACCCAGATTGAAAAATAACACAATGGAACTCCATTTCATATTGTAAATTTTAAGGTTTACAGTCATTTAAGATTCAGTTGAAGTCTGTTATATCCTATGCTAAATCTCCTCCTCCTAAGTTTTCATCATCATGTCAAAATTCATTGTTCCCTAGGGAAACTGTAAAAGGAACTGTTACTGTGATAAACCAGTGATAGTTACCACATGTTTTTTCAAAATCTCCAGAACCCCTATGCTTGTATGTATCACTTTTTTATGTTAGGAAGGCATTTTTTACATTCCTCTTATTAATTAACTAATCCTTTGTGTACCTGTATCCAATAGGCTGCAAAGTTCACAGGATTCTTTCAGTAACCAGTCCGATTGGGTGATATGATGTTCGATGGCAGTGAGACACCAAGGGACTCATATATATATATATATATATATGAGCAACCTGAATCATAGACTGTAATATGAGAAACATTGTAAAGGAAGCTAATGCTGCCAGTCCTCTTGAGTTCAAACCATGTTAGTGATCTGTGGGTGTAGTGTCTCTTCATCATATCAAGAATTTTGTGAGATAAGAATTTTGAGTACGTAATACATTTAATGAGGTATATGTTATATGTTTGATCATCTTCCCCTTTCTGTAAAGGGCCATTTTTGGTCAGCTTTATTAATATTCTAGCACAGAACAAACTGTTCCTGTGGACACATTGAACACTCTCCTCGTTTGTTTTATTTAAATGGTATGAGAAAATGCTGATGTGAATTAACCTAGAATGAATTGTCAGACTGAAGTGCAGAAATCATTCTTTAAATCACTGTGTATGATATTCTAGATCATAGAACAGTCAACAGAAACTTGAAGTTCATTCACAGTTGGTCGTGGCTTCGTTATGATGTGGTTACTTCCTCAGTAAAAAGTATCGAACAAATACCATGCTAGTGTAAACAGCACACAAGGTTTGACTTACATGTCTTCTGAAATGTTGCCTTCTATATTATTACTATAGAATATATTTATGGCACATTGCAAGTTTACAAAGAACTACCAGGTACAAGTTAATGTATGTGGTGCTATGCTGATAATGAGAAGCTGAAGGAAACTGCATGATGCGGCACTTAATAATTTTCATTGTTCACAAAATATTATTAGGTTGGTAAAGTCGAGGAGCGGTATGTGGAGCTTGTTCAGTGAGTGGGAGAGATGAGAAATGTATATAAAATTATGGCTATAAAAGCTGATGTTCTAGACAAATAGAAGGATAATATTAAAACAGGTATCATGGAAATATCTTGTCAGATTGTTGATTGCATTTATGTCGCTTGGTGTTGGGCTTATGGAAACGATTAATCTGTTGTGTTAAATCTAGGGAATTTCTTGAGTGGTTAAGTGACCGTTAGCTTCTCATGGACTCTGCATCATAGAAATGTAACTCAGTGAAGGGGCTATGCAGTAATACAGTGTAATGAATGAATTTCAAAACAGTGTTTTGGAGACTGGTTTGTTTCTCTGTCTTCAGGTAAATCCTACTAATTTTGGCCCAATCAATAGGGGTGGTGTTTTTAGACAAAGGCAGGACGTTTGATAATTCAGTTGAATTCAATTCTTTATTATTTATGTGCTGAGTCACCAGCCGCAAGGTGAATTGCAGACACAGCACAGTGTAGACAAGTAATTACATTGTGGACAATCACAACATAAATTCAAAACAAATTACAGCAAGCAGTCGAGGAAGAACGCATTAATGCAGACAAGTAAACAAACAAACAAACAATAATAATAATTTCATTAACGTAAATCAATAATGCAGACAAGTAAACAAACAAATAATAATAATAATTTCATTAACATAAATCTAAGTTGTTGGAAAATGAAACACATAATTAATGTCAAGAAACATAATATTTGTCTGAACATTTAGGTTGTTTTTCAAGTAACAGTGGCATAAAATGGACTATCCCATTGTACCTGTTGCCTACACTGAAGACCAACCAACTGAGTGTGATGTATATTCTGGTTGTGTACACCAACTTGGGAGGAAATTTAAACCAGCGCAATGAATAAAGTGTAGGATGAGATGTGTTAAAAGTCTTTGGATCCAACTTATATTTCACAAGTTGCCAAGGGTTATGCCTATTAGAACAAACTGAGTTTTTGAGATCATACATTTATATACTGATGCAAAAACTATATATTTTATGGTATGTAGGACTTCCTCTGTGTGGATGAATGCTTCTTCATTACTGGATTTGTATAGGAGTTGAGCTTTCAACATCTATAGGTTCATCAAAACTGAGATTAAAGGCAGTTTTGTTACATGATGGAAATCAAAATTATCAAAGTAGGCTGTCTTATTGTAAGAGGGGAACTTGAAAGAGCATGTCCCAATGGAACCATCAAATTTTACTATCATGCAGTTACTTGAAATCAGGTGAGTTTTTCCATGGCTGAAGGCCGAGAGTTATGAAGTATTATGGTGTTGCTGGCTGCTGAATAGGCAAAGGAAGTGGCTACTGGGAAAATTTGTTTCTGGGAAAACAAATGTTATATATATATATATATATATATATATATATATATACGAATTCTATTATCTTCCATCTTCTACCAGTGATCAATCTTTCAGTGGAATAAATGAAATGAAATATGCTGTCAGTGCTGCATAGCTTGTTACATATAAGTTTGTGTAATGGTTTTTAGTAAAGATTGCGTTGCTACCTAAGTTCCAGAGTTAAGTGTTCAAATCTTATAGTAGTAGCCATTGATCCTCAAAGAAGAAAAGCTGAATGTGATTGCTTTGATGAAACTTGGAAGTCTGAGTTAGTGATGTGAATTCTTTTGAAGCTCTTCTGCATTGCCCATCAGGTAGAATAAAGAATGGAAACTCCAGCACGGTGAAGTATGATCCCAAATTGTTTTTCAGCCAATTTTTTTTTGTCCCCATTTATCATCTTTCCTGAGCGTGCTACATTTAATGAAAACCTTATAAGAAATTGTTAATCATTTCATCATCGTGAATATTTTTGTTTTCCACTTCCATATATGTTGAGATTTGAATTAAAAGAAATTGCAGCATGACAGTATATGAGGAAAAATGGCTTGTGCAAAGGTACATATTTAGTTCTTTAAATATGCAAAGGTTCTCAGTTTAAGTTTTCCTAGTTTCAGGCTGGAGTCCGGTGGCATCATTGAGATGCACCTAACAGTGTAATTAAATGTTCCCTGCCCCGCTTGTAGAAACTGTTGTAACAGAAGACTTTCAGTTTCTTCTTTATTTATCTCTTGTACTGCGGCCACTTCTGGCCTATTGTACCAGCCCCAGATGATAGGTGAAGGTGATTGTGGAGCAATTGGTGGAATGAAGATTGGTAGGGGAAACTGAAGTACTCTGAGAACACCTGCCCCAATTCCACTTTGTCCACCACAAATCCCACTTGACCAGAAGTGGGATCGAACCCGGTGTGCCACCGTAGGAAGCCAGTGACTAACTGCTCAAGCTGTGTCAAGGCCATTATTTTTTATTTAGTTAACAATGATTTGGGCAGACTACCTGCCATTGCAAGTGCAGACGAGCACTCTGTAATGAAATGAAGGGGCTGTGGAAGGGCGTGGCAATGCTCTAAATTAGAACTAGAACCCTGTTACATGGCTTGAGAGGTCGGAAAATCACAAAGAAAACCTCATTTTGGGTGGTCCTGGTCTTAAGTTTGCGTCTTCAAGCTCCAGAGTAAGATTCAGGAGTGCTTTTCAGGCAGCCCCAATGTTGTGTTTCCTGCTTTTAAAATGAGCATCAGGATTTGATATTTCGTATATGAAGCTGTGAGCCAAATGTTTATTCCAAGGAATTTAAATATTAAACAATATTATGCTCTGTCATAAGGGGCAAAGAACTGATTAATTTATCATTTAGTTATTTGATTAATATGATACAGGTAATTGAGAAACATGTTAATCAGTTGAGAGAGCCTGTTTAATTATTGTTAAGCTCAGCTTCACCCTCAAAACGTTTAATTGAAAATATGGGATTGTCTGCAGATGAGCTCTAACCACTGATAGGGATGATGTGACAGAAAATTCAGAAGTTCCCTTAACCTGTGAGTGTTTGAATGTAAATTTAAGGCTTTCACAGCGGTGACTATGAAGAAAACTGCTTTCTTCAATGTTATTTCTTTTATATTTTATTTCTTGTTTTGAAAAATGTAGATACATGATTCACGTATATAGTAAAAGTCAGGAATATTATGTATATATAATTCATGTTAGTGCTATTACATTTTCAGAACAAGTTGTTACATAAATGGTTCATATTTTTATTTACATTACATATAATGAAGAAATATGTGTATATTAATGGCATAACATAGAAGTGGCTACAAAATGAACTGTCATAACACATTACTGGACATTCATTCATATTTTAAGTTCTTGTGAGCACAAACATGGTAAAACTAATAAGTTCAGCTTTAAATTAGTTGTAAGTTAGATATGTGCTTTTGATTCTTCTTGTAAATATGTAATTCACATAATGATTATAATAACATTTTATAATCCAGTTACCATAAACATATTTCATGTTTCACCCGCTTTAAATATAAGTGTTGAAATGTAACCTACAGTCATTGTTTTTAAGAACATACTTCCTGACAATCTGTATTTGAATATCAGGCTTGGTACCAAACTCAGAAGATATTTTATTTTTTGTATATTAAGGCAGGCAGAACTCTAGTAATATTATATAAATTTACTCAAGTTATTAACATAATCGGTGAATTAAAATGGATGTATAAATTGTAACATTGGTAGCATGTTACTATTATGTATTTTTCTCATTTCTCTTGCTCTGTATATATATTTTTTATTGTAATTTGAACTGAATTAGATGATTATATGAAGAATACTTGTTTACTTTTACATGTTACCTTTTATTCCTTATGCTTCCTAAAATTAGTTGCAGCATCTCGGACATTGTAAGTTTTGAAGGTTTTGTAAACTGTTAAGCAAAAGTAGCTTATTCTGATTTCTTTTCAGCTGTTAAAGTGTCAGTATACCATTGAAGACTACTATATTTTTGGATATGACGCCATTTAATCCGACAAAAGTACAGAGAGACTGTCTCCATGTGTTTTCAGGGTCAAAGATGTGTTATCCAGTTTACCCTTCCTTGCTTGCTTTTTATTTTGCATATATTCAGTCCCAATGGAGGAGACAGTATGTTACAATGAATGGTTGGTGAGCCACTATTGGAATACCTGGTGTCACGTTCCGGAAGTGGTACACTTGAATACACTCTTCATTGGAAGAACAGTGATTGCACATTGTTCTAATTGCAACTGTAAACTTGTGGGAGTTGAGAGATGTTTCCTGTCTGTTGTGGAGACAGATATGATACACTTCTTTATGATGTCACTGGGCAGATAATATTAAAATGTATCTTAGAGAAATAGGATGGGCTGCTATGGACTGGATGAATCTGGCTCGGCTTTTTGAGTAACTGCACAATTTGTGGATGCTCAAAAAGGGCATATCTCCTTGAAGTTAGTTTAGTTTATTATTTGAGTGAACATTTTTCGTTCCTTGACCAGGAATAAGACATGAATCTGTTACTATTCATGCAGGTGCCTTTATTACATTGGATATCTGCCTGCCTCTGATATTATTATTCACTTTCTCAAGCGATAGTCTCAGAAATTAAAGTTAATGGGTGGTCCAGCATGTATAAATGATGATATGAAGCCATTCACATTACTAAATGATAAGTTTACACTTTTAAATGCAAAACTAAGATAGTGTGCACAGATCACACTCATTTACTGAAACTGTTGCTTCCATTTCAAAGATGAGAAATTTAACATGGTGGATCCATCTTCGGGGTTGAACTTAAAAATGGAGGTACAGAGTGTCTCAAACTTTTATATCAACAGACTGAGCCAGACAATCTGACAGTCACCAGTGAAAATTTCAAAACTTGCATGAGCTATAACATGTCTCAAATCAGTTGCTTAAAAGAAGTGCCTGGACAGCAGTGAGACAATAAAATTGGCGTCACGTTCTTCCCTGGCGCAACCATGTTCGTGATCTACTCAGTTGCCATGCTGGAAGCTTGAAATTTTTAGTCCAATATGCTATTTGGCCTTACATAGAGATGGCAAGGATGTTAAAGATAGCAAGTTCATTTCTATAAAAATGTGAGAGGTACACAGTTACTTCTTTTTATGCCATCTTTGCAACAAACATTGGTAGGCTGCATTATGATTAAGAAAACTTAGTGTGTGAATCCACATTGTTATCTGTCCATTGTTACCAGTGAGTTGTCTTACAGAGCATGCAGACATATGCTGAAGTTTACAAACTACTTTTAGATTTAATCTCATTTTTAATGCTATACGGAAAGCCCTTTTGGATTTGCAAGATTTTTAAAATCATATCTTGTAAAACAAATTAGTGATCCACTGAATAGTTTATTTCAGTGGTAATATATTTGCCTCTTATCTATGAGGTAGCTATTTTATATGCTGGCCATTAAAGTAACTGTTCTGAGAATTTTCACGGTTTTATTCTGTTGTGGACATAAGTACTAAAATAACTTGCTGTAATAGGCTCAAGTGCTTTATCTATCTTTACCCTTTCATTAGTCATAATTGCCCTCACTTCATTGGTGGTATGTGAAGCAGTATGTTAGTTATTGGTATTAAGTTTCTGATGCAGAGTTGAGATTGATGGTGTGCTTTATAGATCTTGCTTTGGTATGTGTTGACAGTTAATTTTCTAGTTGCATTAGATGAGGTGCAGTAGTTTGTATGTGGGCTATATCGGTGAACCAACATCATTTGCGTTTAGGCGTACATACCAGTTGCTTGACGTACCTGGTAAGCTCTAGAAGGAAAGCAATAGTTGCGACTGTATATCCTAAGAACAGAAAGTAGAAGGCCGACTGAATGTGTAGCAAGGTCAGTTGAGTGTATTCACCAGCCAGCAAGTCCATTTCTGTGGCAGAAGCTAGAATTGCAGTAAATTTGATATTGTCTGACCAGTGCTCAATGACACCAGCGTCCATCAGTTGTGAAACAATGCGATTTAAATAATCCAGAAAGATGAAGCCCTTTGTAACTGTCATGAGTGCCAACTGGATTGTGAAGATCTGATCAAATGAACATACCAGTGGCTTCCCATCACTGCTAGTGAATTCAGCAGCAATCATGTAGTCTGTAGCAATAGCAGAGCCCATGAAGGCAAAATTATGCGTAAAGGAAGTTCTGTTGAGGCATTCCCTAAAGCTTTTGCAGTTGTGTGTATGACGGTAACGATCACCAGACAGGTCTGTTAGGAATGGTTTCCAGCGGAATGGAAAACCAAATTCCATGCCAGAGTTGAAGACTTCGTCAGCAGAGGATAGCTGGTGTTGAAGACCGGGATCTACCAAGAAGCTTGTTAGGTACGTTTGGTAGACAGTGTTCATTGACATACAGAACAGCACCCACACAAGCAATACAACTCTGATGGCAGCTATGCGTGGGGGGTTGTTTGAAATAGACTGCTCCAAGATGACTGCCCAGAAATTGAAGAGGCACTTGATTAAACTGGTATAGGCATGGTTGTTTGTTGACTGTAAGGAGAATCGATTGCTTACCGTCACAGCCTGCCACATGAGGAGGGCGAAAACAATGTAGACTGCCAAAAATGACAGCCAGAGGGATGGGGAGAACACCCTGGTGAGGCTCATCCACCGGGGGTAAGGCATGGCACAAGGAATGTACCACCTAATTTGGTCAATGAAGTAAGGAATCGAACATTCTATTTCGTTTATTATATGACATCTATAATAAGAATAGGCTGCCAGAAGGTCTGCTTGACCCCCTATGACCTGACCTAATCCTCCTGACCATGATCCATTGCCATAAGGCAAACCCCAATGCTCAGCATGTGATGGTTCGAGGTAAACAGCAGACATATTTCCCTTGCGAACGATCTCGTGCAGCAGTCTTATTCCTGTTCCCTCATCAAATGTGGTGCTTGCTGAAGATTCTTTCATCACAGAAGGTTCAAACTCAAAAACAGAAACTGTTACAGGGCAACCATGAAAATTCGTGGGGATTTTATTTGGAAAGAGTGGTATGTTATAATGAAATTTTCCATTACCTTTACTGTCAACAACCCATTGATCCAGAAGAACAGCATCTCTAACATCTGCACAGTGACCAGGTGGTTGATACGGGAACCATGTATACATCTGTAGTGCAGGAGCAGTGCCCATTGCATTACTGTGCTTGTTCGGAGTGGGAACCATAACCACCGCATTCACGACTCTGCTTAGCCACAAGTCTGCAAAAATATCTGCAGCTAGCTGTTGCGTTGAATTTTCTTGCATATGTATTCTTTGTAGAAGTACTGCAAATTTAGCCCTTGGATTCCAATCCCAGCTGTTACTGAGTTTCTTTATCTGGTGTGATATGTCTGTGACTACAGCTTCATGATCATGATATGGTGATATTATAATGTAGTTCCCATGTTTCCTTGGTAATACCTCCTTTTTGCCTGATTTATTTTGTAAATGAAGCGATAAAGACCATATTTCAGTTTCATGCAAGTCTTGTAGAAGTTCCTTCCAAAAGTCAGTTTCCAAATAAGGCATAGTTATTTGTGCACTTTTCTTTACTACTGTCCCATGTTTCTCTGAAAACCAAGTATTGTCAGATGCAACCATTATGTCACTCATTGGTGTGAAGTGCCTCATTGCAGTGGCATGTAGACATTGCAGCATGTGATGATTCACTTCTTCCGATGATTCCACTAAAGTTGCCAGTAATGGGACCAATGCTATTGCCATGTTAGTGTTCAGATAGAACATCATGTTGTGTTTTTTCAAATTTGTGTTATGATATAAAAGCAGTAACTGAGTTAATTGTTGGTGGAAAATACTTAATAAAACAAAAGGTTTTCTAGAGTTTCTCTGCATTCATGTCAAGACGTTTTTGAAGCAGCTCTTGTTTAGTACTTTGTATGAATGGTGATTGTGTAAACCACTTTTGTATTTACTTTATACTTCTCTTTGTGAATATCATATTAAAGAACTCAAGAGCTTCATAAGCCTGTGTGATGTATGCATGAGAAATTAATGGAATGGTGGAGAAACAAAGCAAGTTGATTGATTTTTGGTTCATCTATCAAAAGTTTTCTTTTTGGGGGTGATATTTAATAACGTCAATACCTTGACCACATGCCATAGGATGATAGGATGGCTAATGAATTGGAATTTTGATGGAAGTGGCTTTAGCCTAGTAGAGGTACTATCATTGAATTTGCCTGGAGGGAGAGTAAACTGTGATAGACCTTTCAGGATAGTCTGATTGCGAACTTTCTGGAACCGTGCTCCTGTCAAATGCAAGCCTAGAGCGTTGCCTGTAGATGAACTTGTTTGGTGACACCTTTTCAGTTGGAGTGGTCATTTGTGAATGTTGGATTTAGAAGCGTGGAATGAAGTGATTGTGGTCTTAAGATACTTTGCCAGTATTTCTACCCAGGGGCTGAATGAGAAGGAGAGATACCCCAGACAAGCCTCCTATGACCCGTTTTAGAATGTGGTTCTTCAGGAGCAGTGCACATGGCATCACACCATTCTTTTCTTTGGAAATTCTCCTATGTGTGTGTCGCAAGCACTCAAATTCTGAGTATTCTGTGAAGCGGAAAAAATTCGTTCGCATGACTTTACCCTGAACCCTCAACATTAAATTTAATTGAAGTCTTCTCAGTAGTTTTGCAGATGAATCGAATTAAGCCTATTGCTGTAAAGGATGGTCTCACAGGTCATTACTTTTTAACATATGTGGTTAACATGAAGGAACATACAGGCTTTTGATTTTGCCTGATTGCTCTCTTGAACTTGCCTGCTGTGCCTAGGAAAGTACATGTGATTTTCCCTTTGTATTAATCTAATGTATGTGTGTGCTACTTGTGATTGTACTGAACTGAGTATGTCCGTGACTTCCTGTATGTTGGTAATATTTTATTGCTCCTGTCAGAACTATGAGAATGATGAAATCCTGCAAATAGGATGAGTTTTATGCTCTTTGAAAATGATATATGCTATAAGAACCATGATAGTTCATGTGTGGCCTTAGCATGAGTGGTATAAATAAATCATTGAGCAGGTCTGTGTTGAAGAGTAGAAATGTCTTTAATACAGGTGGCCAGAAAGTAAATTGACGGTTTTTATAATGTAAATTTGTTTATCCATTATATATATATAAAACATTACGAAAAGGTTAACTGAGAATGTGCCATTTTCACGTGCGCTTTCTTCAATTAACGATAGCTGTCAAGCGTCATCTCTGGGATAGCACGTCCAAGTATACCACAGCCGCTTCCTTCCAAATCCCTTCTAATTCATTGTTCGTTTATTGTTTGCCATTGGACGTGGCAGACATACAGTCTGAGGTATTGGCTGCGTCAAAATAAAAAATTTCGTCAAATTAAAGAGTTTTTTTCAATTATGAAGAAAGCAGTCTTCTGGGATTTGGCACCGTGTATATGTGGTGTTAACCGACGTTTCGGAGGAACGTATCGCCCCCATCTTCAGGGTAGAAGAAAAAGTATAAGAAATCTGCAAGCGACAACACCGTGAGAAACGGTAAACCGAAACGTCGGTTAACACCACATAAACACGGTGCCAAATCCCAGAAGACTGCTTTCTTCATAGTCACCGCCGTGAAAGCCTCAAATCTTACATTTTTTTCAATTGTTTGCGGTTTGGCCCGTATTTAACGAGGTGAAAATAAGTGATGAATTTGACCTGCAGGAGGAGCTGTAGCTCCCCTAGAATCCTGCCATAGAAATATCTGCCCGTCTTACAGCACATAGGTATGAGGACCGACGTAAGTAATTCACTGATATTTATAAGTTCGTCTACATTTCGTACTTCGTAGCCTAATAGTTCGTTGTTTCATATGTAGTTTTTTCTATGTCATATCTTAAAATAGGCCCCATTTTTTGTATATCATCCTTCAAAGTGATTCAGCTTTTTGACGCTATATAACCTGTGAAGGTGAGGAAGTTTCATAGCCAAGAATTTAATTTCCGGGTATACTGACCCAGTATAACTCCTCGTCAGAAACATGAAATATAAGTCTTATCATTTCAATTATCAATTATCTTACTAGGTGGAATGTGAGGGACTTAATATATTGTTTTGAAACTGCTGTCAATGGGAATGACAATTTTTCTGAAGGTGCAGATAACAGGTTTCAGTTTCTCTATTCTTACTATGTTTCTGTCTTCAATGGAGTTGTAAAACTCGTCCCATATATGTGACCAGCAGAGCATAATCAACTGCTAATCCTTCATTTACGTGTGGGAACCGATGAGAAGTATACAATTTTGAAATAAGATTAAGGTTCTATTGGGCATCTTCTGCATAGAAAACACGTAAGCAGAGCTGGAGACTGGAGTAGAGAGTAGACGTCGTTCGCTTAGCTGCAGGGCTCTCCGCTTTATTTCCCAAATTGCTAGATGTCATAACTGTTGGTGTCATCAATAATAGACATAGGAACAAAGTGAGGAGTCTGTCCAGCAATAATTTCCTTCAAAGTGTGTTATCTCCTTGGGCTTTCCCATTTTCCTGGAGCATCTTTTCTCTTTCTGAAGAGGCATTTCTATCCCTGAACATAACGCAATAAATCCCGGATCAATCTAACCAAATTTACGCCCAGGCACGATCTCTAACATTAATCACCGCTGTGAGAACCGAATATCTCAATTCTTCAAAATTCGGAATGTACGTATTACAATATGACAGGTTCAAATGTATTTAAATGTCCCACCGACAGAACTTTGTACTACAACAGCGGAACAAGGGACAAGGTAAAGTATCACTGAATGCTTGAAGGTTAGCTTCGTGAAGTTCGTGAATTCTGTATAGCTTTTTCAGTAGGCTATAAGGATCGCTTTTTGATAATTATGAATCATACTGTCAATCACTGGATTTTCCACCTTTCATTTACCTGTACAACATCTCGTGTAGCATCTTCAGGATACCACCGCAGAGGGTAACTGTACAGCTATAAAATAATTTTCTTCAAATTTTCAAATTGAAATTCAGTATTAAGTACCTTAATGATACTTCAACCATTAGATTACGTGATAGTAAATTCTAAAGCTTATGCATTGCAGATATTATGTATGAATTAGAATCATTACAGGATGTAGAAGTAGAGATTCATGTAGAGAATTATTTAAGAAATTAAAAATTCTACCTCTTCAATCGCAATACATATTATCGCTTCTCTTATTTGTTGTTTACAACAAAGATAAATTCAAATTAAATTCTGATGTCTATAACATGAATACTAGACAAAAATATAACTTCCACCTACCCTCATCAACTTTATCAGTATATCAAAAAGGAGTCTACTTTACTGGCATAAAAGTGTTCAACAATCTGCCACAAAGTATTAAAAACTTGGGCAATGATACTAAAAAGTTTAAATCAGAGTTAAAGAATTATCTACATGCTCATTCCTTCTACTCTTTAGATGAATACTTCAATGTAAATAGAGAATGATGTAAAATTAAGTTATATTAATTTTTAAGCTAAAATTGCCTGTACTTATGTATGTAACCTTTTGACTTGTTCTGTATCCAAAGGTACTAACCTACTTAGGATTTATAGAATGTAAATAAATTCAATTCAAAATCCAATGAAATAATGTGGAAAATCTGTTATGATCAGTTTGGTAGGAAGATGAACTGAGTATGATAGTTTCCTATTTCTATCCCAGTGTACCCTTAGATGGATTTAAGAAAGTGCAGAGAAGCTGATGTAGCAGTCAAAATCGAAGCAAGGTTATTTCTAAGGAAAAGTCAGATGTGTTACAGCAGAATCAAATTCAGTCAGTATTCTTTACCAATTTCGGTAATATAAATCTTATTTTGAAGGTTACATTTATGTACCACTGACTAAAAGAAACTCCATACATTTCACCATGAATCGGTCAAAATATCTTTCTTTTTATGGTGTGAGTGTTAAACATTGTATCATGATTTTCCAGTCTGTAGCAAACCTAATTACTACTGAACGAAAACTGCGTGCCACTTTATGCCATAGGTTTTAGGAAGGAGATGCTAGACACATGGGCATTGCTAGGATCTTTCCCTGTGAGAGGAGCCAGAATATTTGAACATGATCCTGTATTGAGTGATGACCCTAAGTGTTCAGAACAGAAGTTTTAATTTGTAGAGCATTCTGCATTACCTGTGATGCACCCCATGTACAAGACATTTACTACATCAAATTCCAAATTCACCGACCTAAACATTGACCACCTTCATAAACAAAAGAGTGGAACAAAATCATCCTGTCATTTCAGAGGTTGTCCAGAATTTCATTTTCCTCATGACTATACTGTAAGAGCTTTTTTTGAAATCTGTCAATGTACGCAATACAGCACAACAAAAATTCAGTGAAAAGTTCTGTGATAATAGTTGATTCATTACATGAATATCATGTTTCATATTTGTGAGGTGTAATTTATATACACATTTTGACAGTGGAGCCAAGTTAAGAAGAAACTGTGTACCTGACAATGGACAACAGTATTTATATAATTCAATAAAAATTATATATGGATTTTACACTTTATTAAATCTCTATTTTAAACCATCTCAATTTTCTACTTACATTTTTGGCTCAGAAAGAGATAACTGGGAGAAGGAAACTACTGTTTGGGAAAATGGGTTAATTTATGGTGTGCGCGTGCATGCATGTGCACTTTCTACTGATTTGTCTATGTTTGAGGTCCAGTAGCTGATACAGTGAAACCCACATTTAAGGTTTGTTTTGGGCAGGAATGGATCTGAACTAAGGATAAAAAAACTTGGATGAGTGCACTTCCCATTTAAGTTCTCAATTTATTCATAGCAGAGAGGACAATGTTTGAGCAGAACAACACATTTTTAGCACACAAATTCTGACAGCTTTCTTACATCTTTCATTCTTCAGTCCATACTGAACTATAAGCATTCACTGTCCATCATGTAAACCACTTTGTGCAGTAGAAAATTGGTGATCAACACCAACACTGGAAGTCATGACAGTAGCAGCGATGTGCGGAGGAAATCCTTCACTTGTGTTTTTTCTTCTGTCGTGGTTTCTTTGTATGCGATGTTGGAGAATCACTGGGTTCGCTCTGATCATCCTTGAAGGAACAAGTAAATGATCGGTATAGTAACCAAATAATAGTTGCATATAGTTTGGACTCTACAGTTACTTTTGGGAAAAATGACATACACTACTGCATCCAAAGAAATCTCAGATGGGGATTTCACTGTGTGCATGTAATGGACCTTATACAATCCATCAGGTAGTTTGGTAAAACGTGTATTGAATCAACTAGAATCATTTCAGTTTAGGACTCCTGGCAGACATGAGATTGGGCACTTAGGTACCCCTCGTAAAAGCCATAATTCCTAAACAATAAAGGAAAGCTGAAACTGAGCAATGAGAAAGTGTTCCTCAACGGATACTAACTTGGTGGTGAGGGTATGATTTTACACTACTACCTAAAGTGTACTAGAGGTACTGTCTGTTGATAAAAGGGACACCACTTTCATCTGTTAAGGCTGTGAGTGGCTGTGCTTTGTATCCATGTTGCTTATATGACTTCATCAAATGATATTTCAATATAAAGGTCCCTTCGCTCTTCACCCCAAATCACACATAGCTCCTGCATTCAGTGTACCTGGGTCCATTCTCTGCGTAACTCCTGAAGCATGTTTGGTGTAAGTAGCCCCTGAGCAAGAAGCCTCTCTGTCAGGCGACCTCGTCCAACTTGAGGCATCTCAGTGTCTTTTCCTCCTAGAAAATGTGAAATACAGGTATATCAGTACTCTTTGCAAATTATGGCTGTCCGTTACCTAAACGGAAATATTTAGTAAGCAGGTACACATTCATTTTATGGAGAAAGGGCCTTCAAATAAAAAAGAAACTGTATAATTTTGTAAGATATTAGTAGATATAGATATTATTAGATAATGTCCACATTCAGTCATTCTTGAATGTTATAACCAAAAACAGATGCAGGAACTAAACAGCAGGGAAGTTGACCATTGCAAAAGAGTCAAGGGAACATGCCTTAAGTGGGATTTTTCTGCTCCACATATGATTGGATGATCACATACTTCACAGACATGGTCACCCTTGTCAGCATAACAAAGTTTAGGAACATAACTCCACGTAGTAGTCGTTACTGAGAAGGCAGCAGTTGCGAAATTAGTCAGGAAATTCCCTGGCTTGTACACAATCTCAGGTTCTTTACCATGTTTACAAAAGCCTACCTGTGGGGCCAATCCTGAGCATTTAGAACTGTATAACAGGCAATGACTGTCAAGTACATATTACTTCGTCCATTTAATTAATTATATTTTGTCAATTAGTTGATTTTACATCATCTTACAACAACTTACACCTGGGGAATATAAAATTTTATTTAAACAATGCTACTGGAAAGTTCCCAGACTGTTATTGTTGTAAATGCCTCAGTGAATGAAGATGAGAGGGGAGACAAAAGTCATGCATCTGCAAGCCTGTTGAATCAGTGTGCCACATGACACCGTGCTGTCAGCTTGCATTGTTTTTACGTGATTTCTTTTTCAACTTTCTGTTTCCTCTTGTCTGCGATGGATGGCAGAATCAAGCAAGATGCATGAATCAAGTTTTGGGTGAAGCTCAGTAAATCTGCTACAGAAACACTTGAAATAAAAAGTGAGGCTGGTCCAGAGTTCAACAAAGAGAATGCCCATTGTCTTTCCAATGTGAAGGGGATTGTTCCCTGTGAATTTCTTCCTCCCAACACTACAGTCAACTATTGATGTTTTGAGATGCTCGAGAGAAAATATACGTTGAAAAAGACTGGAATTTTGGCACTACAGAGTTTGTGACTAAAAGCAACATGCTTATCATTCCCCATTGTCCCTACTCACCGGACGTAGCCCCCTTTGATTTTCCTCTGTTTCCCAAATTGAAAATGAAACTGATGGGACAATGTTTTGAAGCAATGTCTGACATCCAAATAGAATCACAAATGGTGCTCGAGAGTATTAAGGAAAATGAAATCAACGGTGCTTTTCAAGCATGGAAAAAATGATGGAATCGCTGTATACGTTCCCAAGGAGACTACTTTCAAGGAGATGACAGCGAAAATTGAACTATTCGATAGATATTTCTTGATATTGCTATCTACTGATTCCTATTTTTGCTCATTTGCATTCTGCATTTTTAACTATTTTAGTAGTGATTCCCAAACACTATATTTATGCAGAAAGTGTCACACAATTCCTTTCATTGGAAGTCATTCATTCCTTTAAGTGTTACATAACCTAAAGGATAAACATTCACATTTCCCACTATCGCTTTAGGTGGCTTATCATGTCTGTTATTAGAAACAGTTGCAAAATGACAGGGTCGTTGTTTATCACCTAACCGGAAAATACCATGAATTCTACCACAATCTAACTTGCTTGTCTGTCATCTGGTGTGTTTCTTTTTGAATAAAAACTAGAGTTACACATACCCTATGATTTTAGTTAAGCAATTAGTTTCCATGTCACTAACTCACTCATTGAGCCGAACTCTTCTTGAGAAGCTGCCAATTGTGCAGCTATTCAAGAACTTCCCAGCATTCTACAGAACCTGAAGATTCATCGCCATGTTCACAAGAGCCCTCCACTGATCTGTATCGTAAGCCAGATCAATCCTATCTATACCATCCAATCCTACCTCTCTTAACATCCATTTTAATATTGTCCACCCACCTATGCCGTGGCCTGTTTCCTTCTGGCTCTCCCACCAATATCCTACATGCATTCCTCTTCTCCCCCATTCATGCTACATGCCCTACCCATCTCATCCTCCTTGACTCGGTCATTCTACTTATACTTGGAGCAGAGTACAAGTTACGAAGCTCCTCATTATGCAGTTTTCTCCAAGCTCCTGTCACTTCATCTCTCTTCGGTCCAAATATTCTCCTCAGCACCCTCAGTCTATGTTCCTCCCTTAATGTCAGAGACCACGTTTCACACCCATACAGAACCACAGGCAAAATTATAGTTTTGTATATTCTAATTTTTATGCTTTTAGACAACAAACGAGAAGACAAAAAGGTTCTAGAATGAATGGTAGCAAGCATTACCCAAATTCAATCTCCTCTTAATTTCCTTCTCAATCAGATTTTTATTTGTTATAGTTGTTCCCAAATATCTGAACTATGTCACACTTTCAAAACATTTGTTAGCTATCTTCATGTCTTGATTCTGCCCTGTATTATAGTGATGAGACAGCAACATATACTTAAACCTCAAATCTAACATATAATTAGTTTTCTATGTGTTTACTTCTAGACCAAACTCGTTACTTGAGTCAATTAAAGTTTGTGTGTTTCTCTTTATTGTATCTATATTATCACCCAGTAGATTCACATCATCAGCATAGACCACGGATGATATGTCATTTAATTTCAGTCCCACCTGGTTTTCCTGGACCTTCCTAATGGAATATTCTAAAGCAAAGTTGGAGTGGCGATAAACCATCTCCTTGTTTTAGACCATTCTGGATAGGAAAATTATCAGACAGTATTTTGATTTGATGTCAAAATTCAAATTAACATAAAGGGTATATTCACTGCATTCAGATTTATATTAGTCTTCACTTTATTTCTATAACAACAAGAACAATAATAATAATAATAATAATAAATTAATTATTAAATTAAGTAAATGAATAACTTATTCTAAATATGTTGATTGACTAATAACACTAACAAACATATGTAATTTTAAAATATTCATAGTTACAGTGAAAAATATACAATTTTGAATGGCAGCAACACAAAATACAACAGAAATCAATATTTCTGACATCTGTGAATCCATTATATACAATTATGTTCTACAATAAAGTATAAGTGGATTGTAAAGGAAAGAGTATGAATTCTGTCACAATATAGTACCTCGCAGATATGACTGCTTGTGTCGGTTAATGGCAAAGTCTTCCTCATCTATAGCAGCTGACGTTCCACTGCTGACACCTGTCTCAGAGTTCTTCAGAAGACGAGTTAGCTGGAAGACACCCTGCTGGATCATGGAATCGAGCTCTGCCTGCATATCACGCACCAGAGAAGCAGCCGGGAACAAATCCATGAAGCGGTAACTGAAATCAGACAGTATGTAATTTCAGTATAGAATTCCCATATTAAGTACATGATGACAGTAGAGACAAGTATCAAGAAATGTCCATCATACCTGAACCACAGATACAAGTCCAGAACATCAAACACAGCTTCCAAATGGACAAGATCAATAATAGTCTTCGGAGGAGCAAACGGCCAGCCAATGTTACGACACAGCCAGTCTAGCGTCAAAGCTTCATTTCTGCTGTACTGCCGTGCAAACTGTAACAATGAAACACTTGCCCAGTATGGTAACATATTTAAATAACTTTGTTCTAGGATATCAAGGAGGTTGGGATTGCAGTAATACTTTAGTTTTGTGTTCAGATGATCCTTGGTTCGAATCTTGACCTGGACAATATTTATCTTCATTGAGGTTCTTCATGGTCTTACTCAGTTCCCCAAAATGCCAGGATATTACCTTGATAAATTATGATCCTACCATTCAGAGCTGCGTAGCTGAGATACTGATAATGTTTTAAAATACCCCACACCAAAAAATTCTCAAGACAACGTTCTTTTCCTTTCACCACTTGAAGAACGAGAGACAATTTCTCTGTAGGTAATGAGTAATTCAATTTTTGTACAGAGGTTATAAACATTGACTTGGCTAGTACCACCAGTTTATGCTCTTTTAACTTGAATGACAATGTATTTCTAATTCTTTTGAGATTATTTTTCTCGGGTCACAGGGACAGAGCGGTTAAGTCATGCATATGTGTCTGGCTTGCCTGTTATAGAATTAGCATAACTGTCATGCCACTGGAAATCGCCCCGCTTCATACATTATTTGCTATCTACAGTACTGACCCGCTCAACCAGAATAGTGACTGATTTTGGACACAAAGTTTCCACTTCTCAGTTCAAGTTTGGGGTGCTCAAGACAATTGTTCAATGGGCACTAGGGATCTCTCCCTGGGATAAAGCAGTTGAGTTGGTCTGAGGGATGAGTCAGTTCATTGCAACTTAGAAGTAGCACCCAGCATTCATATGCAGTAAAACATCAGTGAATGTAAAGAGAGCAGAGGGCAGTGAAATAGTAGCAAACTAAAAGTGATGGGAATATTGTGAAAAAGTGAAAAGAACTGCTCCAAAACATGACAAACATTACAATACTGTCAGTACTGAAATTACTGATATCATACCCTGAAACAAAAGACTGCTTGGATGTTCGTGATTTAGTGCATAACTTACGTTAATGCAACGAGTTAATGCTCAACGTTGCATGAACCAATGTTATGTGGTATATCATGAAAAATCATTCCGGTATTTTTTTTAGTATATCATATGTGTTCTGTAAGTACTGATAATAATCTCACGTGGATATGTGGAGTGTAGTTTACTATCTAAGACAGACACATTTGACTGTGTATCTTGTTCATGGTAGACTGCATTAAACACTGGCATTGGGACACCATCTGATAGCAGGTGGGACTCGACTGGAATACAGTAGAAAGCAGGGGAAGAGATTATATAACAAATTTTGAAACTTTCCACTAAATCTTCAATACATGTGGCAATAGGATATATTTATTTTCCTGTTTGATAATGATAAATGATGTGACATTTAACATCACCCCTACATAAAAAATTTTGTCAACAGTCATTAGAAATTTTGGATATGAAAAATGCAGAGAGGAAGAAAGATAGTGATGGACTGCAGGTTGTGTTTTTATGTACTTCTCTCAAGCAATGCATAATAAGGTAAGAAGGAAACAAATGTCCTGCAATGGAACATTACCTTCAGGAACATGGTGCAAACAAATGGTAATTTCCTGTTGATCGGTGCACAGCAGAAGACATATCTGGCACGAAGAGGCAGGGGAACGTGCTGAATCATATCTGCCAAAAACTTGAAGTCTTCTATGTTACACATGAAGTACAGGGAGTCGTCCACTGTACACAATGTGACAAAGATATCCTGGCAACACAAGATGAATAAGCATTGTGTCAGAAACACTGTATTTACCTAACTTCCAAATATGATTTGAAGCTAAAATAATTTTATAGCAACTGCATTTAATACATAAGTTATGTTAATGCCTATTTGATGTTCTAATGAAACAATAATGGCAGTAAATAGCCTTAACACGATACATGTCTTGCCATGAGAAAACAAGGTCATTGACCCCTCAGTCCACAACCACTATTATATTCAGAGTAATGATGGTGCACATGTCTTGGATAGGGTGGGACTCAGTAATCCACTCCAAAGTCCTGATCCAGCAACTGTAATCTCATCATGTGTTGCTGGGCTCGTGACTAAGGAGTAGCTGAGAGAGATAGACTGGTATGCAAGCTCTTCACTGATGGGCCTTCCAGTAACTGTCTAGGAAGCTACTGGCCCTGAAGAGCAAACATTAGAGGCCAGTATAAGTGTTCCTAACTGTACACTGTGGGAGCACCTGTTTGTTATGTGCCCCTTGGAAAGCAGTGGGCAAGAGAAGGAATGCCTCTACCAGTAGCAGTACCAATGTAGCAGTTGGATGATCATACATGCCTGATGATGGCCTCGTCTGACCAAAGCATGACATAAAATATATACAAAACAAAAATTAAGTGGTGTTTAATCAACAATCTTTGAAGTGCTGAATATACAAAAGTGAGTGTATATATATATATATATATATACCAAGTGGCAAACTATAGCAACAGGATACTCGCATATAATATCTCAGGATAAAGGTTGTGAGGACGAGAGATGGATGGGACTGACAATCTTATCTGATCCCCAGGTTTTATTATCAGTGGCAATGATTCTCTTGACAAGACATACTGTATACTTCTGAAGTTGCGTTACATTTTCAAATGTTTCGCATTAAGACATAGTCTGTGTTAGCACAAGTACAGTACCATAAGATTTGAGAGTGTTGAATTAGGCAGATGGTATGCATACAGCTCTATCTGCTCAGCTGTGGGGTGCAGCCCTGCCTTCACAATTGGTTCTGGCGACTGGGACAGCAGATTCTTCAGTGTATTTAAGTCCTCGGGTTTAAACGTTGTTACAAAGCCCTGCAAAATGTCACAGTCCAATAACAGCAATTCTCAGTTGTAAATTAAGTAGTGTTTTGTACCTTTCTATGGCATGGCAAGATGATATAATGAATATCCTGTATATACATACAATGCTCCTCTATTATCTGTTTATACGTCTTCATAAATAAATTTTCTGTTAAAGAATTGTACAGTTCTTGATACTACTCCCATTAAAGAATATTTATCTTGAAGTAACGCACTGAGCAGGCTACTGTGGTGCCGCATCAGCATCAGTGGGTGTAAGCACCTCTATATATAACGTTTCGTTAGAGCCACTAAAAAGTTAATTACAAATTACATTCTTGGGAGGGGGTAAAGGGCAGATAGCGTGTAGGGCTGACAAACTTGCTGCCATCTGTGAGCCGATGTCGAGAAAGTGTGGGAACCTCAACATCTGATGACTCTATGGGCCTCCATGGCCTGTTACAGGGATACCTTTACTTTACTTTTACACATCTATGACACTGTAAAGTGTTATGATTGATAGTTAACTGGCAAAATTTAATTACAAGATCCATTTATATTAAAGTCTGGAGGCATTTGATAATTCAACAGTTCAGCAAGCCATAAAGTTTTGTGTAGAATACAATTTGAATTTACATTATGCCCCCGCCCCCACCACCCCCCTCAAAACATACAACAGTATATGAACATGTTCAGTCCACTTTCATTCATTAGTTAGCTAGAGGAAGGATTATGTATCAGCTTGTAATGAGTACAGTCAGTTACACGGACCTTCTCATACTGGGTGCCGTAACGCCCAGCTCGTCCCGCAATCTGCAAAGCTTGGGACACTGAAATGGTGTTCATCTCCTTCTCACCCTTCTCATTGACTGTTGGCTTGATGAGGGAGTAGAACACGACTCGCCGAATACTCCTGTAAAATGAAGACAGCCTCGTGGTGTAGTGGTTAGCATTCTTGCTCCATATTCAGAAGTCCGCAATCTTATTCATCTGAGCTTTCTCAGCCCCTCTAAAGAAAATCTGAACCCTCTGCCCACTATGAGCGGACTTCATTTGCTCAGCAACAATCAGTAAGTAGGGCATTTTGTCAAGTCTCATATGCTAATGTTAAAGAGAAAAGAAGGGGCTTTCACACTACCAAAATCTGTGCTTATCTGAAGTTAGTATGCACAGATATTGCCAGTTCTTGTGCATGCAACAGCATTTATCCTCATGAAACCTTGGTGTTCCTAACAGGTAGTTCTATAGAAGGGCTTGGCTGTCAAATGGATATCTGTCACAAGAACTTACTATGAACTTACTTTATAAGTGTCTATTTATAGTCATCTTGCCACTTCTCATATCATGCAATATAATCTATGCAGCTGACAACAGCTGTCACTAAATAACTCCAAACACTCTTCACTAATAGTGATACGTATATGAAGAAGTTTCATGAAAAGGAGTATTCAATCTTTGTCATGCCTTGACATTCACAATTATCTCCATCAGTTTAAATTCTGTCACGTTTCCGATACCAAATGGCAAAACAAGTCAGTGCCTGGGAGAAAATGATGAATGCAGTTACAAGTCAATTCACGCATCTACATAACATCCGAATTTCAGCTGTAGTGATGTGACCCATTAATGATGCCTACATTACCTTCTGCCCCTTCTGTTCATTTACTGACACTGAAGCCCATCAATTTCAAATTATATGACGGACAGATGGCAGATATAGAAGAACCATTAACCTCTCACTGTGAGAACCTAACATATTTTGTAATGAATACCATATGACTGACGCTAGTAAGGGTGGTCTAGAAGTAAACACATAGAAATCTACAAAGACAAAACAACTCCATCCAGTGCGACTATTGAAGTTTTTACTACTTGAAAACTTAACACCCTTACATGTTTCAGTTCCTACTGACCATCATCAGAGTGACATCGATACTTTTTGGAAACTACTATCACCATAGGTGTTTTGAGTGTTAAAATACATATACATACAATGTTTGTAATGTAGAATATATACAAAATCCAACATTTCCACAACTACAGCAGCTTTCTTGGTATATTAAAGTTTTTAAAACTTTGTTATTCAAGTTAAAATTTATAAACCAAGTAGCTTCGTGTCCCTTCCCTATTGTCTTTATTGACGGGGCTGAACTTGTGCCGCCTGTCTCTCGTTAGAAGGAGATTCTTAGTATCATCCTGTGTTTGTTTGTGGCATGCCAACACAGCACAACACGAACAAACACAGGACAATACCAAGAATCTCCTCAAGAGAGACAGGCGGCACAAGTATATCACAGTATGACTCACAGGTTCAGCCCCATGCCAATGGCATCTGTTGCCACCAGGACCTTGCAGGAGTTGTCAGGGTCATTGAACTTCTGGGCTTGAGCAAGTTTTGTGCCTGGAGGCAGACCACCATAGATAACAGCAACCTCATGCCCCTTAGCCTCAATGCCTCTAGACACAGAATATATGTCATGTTTGCTGAAGCAAACTATGCAATCTCCTGGTTGCACTGCCTCCAGGGAACCCATCGCTGAGTCCTCCACCTCCAGGTCTGTCAGACGCTTGTATTTTCGTACCTGCACATACAGAGATTCAAGGTGAAAAACCCCTTTAAGTGCTATTCAGGTTTATTTTCAATGCACGGTTTCCACTATCTAAAAAACTAGGAATTAAAATATACAAAATTTATATCTTTCCTGTGTTACTGTATGGGTAAGAAACTTGGTAACTAATTCTAAGAGACTGTAGGTATTTGAAAACAGGGTGCTAAATAGAATATGCTCCTTGTCAAATATTATTAGGATGATCAAGTCAAGGGGGTGAGATGGTCAGCAGATGTAGCAAGCACAGAGGAAAAGAGAAGTAATAGTGAAGAAAAGACACAATCAGGAAAACCTAGACACAGACAGGAAGATACTAAACCTGGATTATAAAGAAACAGGATGGGAAGGTGTTGACTGAATTCATCTGGTTCAGGATTGGGACATTTGGTTGGTTCATGTGAACATGGTAATGAGCCTTTGCATTTCATAAAATTTTTCAAATTTCTTGAATAGGGAAGAAACTATTAGCTTATCAAAAAAGGTTGAACTCAATTGAGTTCATTCATATGGTAGTGATTAATTGCAATATTAACATTATTAGTTAAAATATGAATTTAATTTTTGATTACACCATAAGTCAGTACAATATTTGGGAAAAAAAATACGCAATTCTTTAACTGCTTCAGAGTCCCCAACCCTGTATCTGTTTCTGACTTAAAAATATCGCAGATTGCTCCTTCAATTTCCTAGCATGAGACAGAAAAAGAAAAACACCTCGACATCCTCTCCTGTTGTTGACATAAGAGACCGGACTAGCTCGACAGCTCCCTCCTCACCACACAGGTGTATTTCCTCGGCCATCACGCCAAGCAGGGCCCTGGTCCATGCCCAACCTCGTCCTGTATCCCGCATCATCTGGATCTCATCAATGATGGCCACTTCATCTGTGAGAGACAGCCCATGTCTTTAAATACAGAGATTTGCTTATTTATACTCTCAGCCAGGCCAAGCCATAGATAAAGCAGTGACATGACATCTCCTTACTATGAAGGCATGAGCGCAGTTCTACGGCAGTTCATGTGATCATTCTTGAGAACAAAATAACAATGGGTCAGGTTATTAACTGCAGCTGTCTCCTACCAATTATCAGTCTGATGCTTACAACATTATTTTCCACCACAAGTTTAAAAATACAAAAATTAATTCACAACTCATTACATTTCTTCCCATTCTTCTTCTATTCGACTTTTCTGTTCTATATGAAACTTCCTTTCTGCAAGACTGAGAGGTAATTATGTATAGGTGGGGCACACAAATAACTTTAAAATTTATGGTGAAGTCAGTGTTGCCAACGTTAAAAGTTAATTTGTAGAAATATGGTGCAATGTCTAACCTCAACCGTTTTCCTCCAACAAGCTTACAAGATTAGAATTCTGGTTTTACTTTTAAAGTGTTACTTCTTTGGTTCTATTTTTAAATGTTACATTTCAGTTTTGTTTTTGAAATAAACATCTAGAGTATGGCAGAGAACACTGCCATAAATTTTGAAGTTGCTTGGGTCAGTATTTTAATTTACACTAACAGTCTATAATGGTACCATTTAAAGTACATCACAACTATAAAAGTTACTGTGTATAAGTTGTCAATGTGTACATTTACCTGAAATCAAACCAGTCATGTGATCTTCATAATTTTTGATTTCAAAAGCATGTATACCTGCAAAATGTGACTACCATTTTCAATGCTCACATACATGGAACGTTGACAGATGTCATTTCCACAGTACATGACACGTGACTCGATGGGTCCCCATTAGACTGGGAAAACTTCCGTTCCTCTCCTGTCACCAGATCACATGGTGTGCCCTAAGATAAACAGAATACAATATTCTCCTTCCTTTCAACACAAAGGAGCATAATCTTAGTGTCCTACAGGTAAGCCAGTAAGTCTGCTGCCATTGCTGTACCAGGCTTGTAGCTTATTTAATGGCTCCATCAATATGTGAGCCTGAACAGCGTCAAATGGTAGGGTGGGAGTGAATAGTAAAATGGATAGGATTTGGATGGAAGCCATTCTAGTCTAATTGGGCCACTACACTGGCATTTCCCAGGAGATGCTGAGGAAACTGAAAAGAACCTCAGTCTGGGTAGACAGTGTTCCAGCTGAGATTCAAACAAAGTACCTCGCACGTAGAAGTTCAGAGCATTATCACTACATCAACCTTTGAAATGTACTATAAAATTAAATATCTGAATAAAGTGCACTGAGGGAATATAGATCTGCTGTAGCATAAAACCGGGTACAATACAATACGAATAGCAGGTGCACATTTTTATTGTTCCTCTGTGAACCATTCTACACCTCCCTGCCATTCTATTCATCTCAGCGAAAGTCATAATATTGTTATTCACATATTTAACGAAACTTTGTGAATGTACAAACTCACATCGCTACTGCGGTGATGATTCCATAACATAGTCCATCTAGAAACTAAATAAAATTGAGTCCATGTTATTGTCACTCACCCTTTCATTGCTCTTGTTAAATACTTCAGAAGCTAAAAGTTTCAAAGGGCCACAGTACACTCCAGACTTTGAATTCAAGAATCGCTCCAAGGCATGGAAAGTTTTCCCACTATTTGTAGGTCCAGCATGGAAAATTATCTTCCTTGTGAGGGTTCGAGCACCAGGATACCTTCAATAGAAACCACGGTACTAGAAATCAGGAATTCATATGCAGTACAATGAATATTACGGTTTAGCTAACATATTACCAGTTTGCTGGGCTTCTCAAGTCACTTATTTTCTTGAGATCATCCATACACTCAAGATGTGGGAACATCTGTCTTGCATGGCGAAGAAAATAAGGAAATATATCATCAACATGACCTGCTCCTTGAAGAATGTCACTTACAACAACATGAAGGTCAACGGGCAAAGCTTCTGCCTCCAGACAGTATCGACGAAAACTTACATATGCTTGATGGAGAAGATAATCTGAAATAGGAAGTATTATATCTTTCAATGTCGCAATCAGTTGTCTCAGAATTGTCTTTCAGCTGCTATTCATCCATGAATGTATATTATGTGACACACTACAGAAGAGAGGACAGAACTGAGAAATGATTCAAGGTGACCATACTATACAGATGTCCTCCGATGATAAATGCATTACTTACGACAATATGACCTGCTGTAACTATATGAAAGCATTGAGAAGTATTTTATATACTTACTGTCAAGTCCATTTTCTAATGCCAGCAATTTGATTTCCTTCTTTTGGTAAAACTTGTTCAGAACTTTCAGTAAGTCTGATTTATTCAATGCGCCTGTCAACTCTGCCCCAACGTTGATATCATCAGGATTCGGCGTAACTGGTACAGGAATAAAGAGCGAGGAGAAGTTTGCATCATCCTTTTTTCCGCGACACTGGGAGCAAGCTACAAAATTTCGATGCCATTTATAACGAAATTTGCAAAAGGAGACACCTCCTTTAGCTGCATGAATTAGGCTCAAAGAACGTAGCGTTAATTTACTTCCGCTGCTAAACATATTTCAAGTAGATGTATATCACCAACCAAGAATGTGATAAACAGATATTTTTATAAATAACATTGCTTTCAAAACTCGGCAAAACATAACCTCAAGGCAGAACCGGAGACAACATTGCACGGATTACAGAATTGATACCGGAAACGTAAATAACATATGGTTGTATATTCCGCGTCGTGGTAGCAATCGCATTTGGTAACTCTGGTGCTCCCTAGATGGCAAAGCTAGGCTGTCGTGCTGTTCTGCCATCTGAAGGAATTTCTGAAAATTAGTGCTCTCGATTTGAACACAATGGGATCCAAATTTTGATATGTTGTACATTATTTAAATAAATAACCATACGTAATGGACACTATCGAATGGTCAGTTCTGCTTTTACGGATTAGACCCCCTTTCCCGTAATATCTCTCAATTAACTTGTAAAATTATGAACTCTTTTTAGACAATCGGTATAACTCATACCATAACAAAGTCTAGTATGAAATTTGTTTGAATTTGTATTATATATGTTACAAAACAAAAATTTATGTGCGTCCAGCAAAGTGCTTTTCTTTTTATACGAGAGGAATGCTCTACTCCATTTTATTCCTTGTAAGCAGAATGCTGCTCACTTCCTGCAGTCTAGTTATCAATGAGAGTTCCGACAAATGACCGCTTCAATGACAACCCTGACCGTGACTTGACAGTTCTGCTGAAACCGTGGCGCAAAAGCAGTCCCTGTTATTTATTCAGTATATTCAGCCCATTCAACTGCAACTGCAAAAATTTCTTTGAAATCTTCTGGAAGCTGATGTTTCCCAGAGCACGTTAAATTTTAGAGGTGAAAGGTGAAAGACGCTGAGAGCCAGTAATATTTGATTTATAAGATTTGAGATTTTCATTGCGGTTACTATGAAGAAAGCAGTGTTCTGGAATGTGGCACCGTGTAGATATGGTGTTAACCGACGTTTCGGAGGAACGTATCGCCTCCATCTTCAGGGTAGAAAGAAAAATAAGAGAATCCGCAAGCAAGGAGACCGTGAGAATCGGTACAAGCAGACTGCTGTTGGAATCACCGTTTCTTCGCTTGCGGATTCCCTTATTTTTCCTTCTACTCTGAAGATGGAGGCTATACGTTCCTCCGAAACGTCGGTTAACACCACATCTACACGATGTCACACCCCAGAAGACTGCTTTCTTCTACGTTTGATTTGTTAGCTTTTCTAAACTGTGACGTCAAGTGTAACGTTTCTTCTGTTGGTTTATTTCTGAATAACAAGAACCACATAAATGAAAATAAATTCTGCATTTTATTTAAAAATATCTTACTGCTTATTATTGAAAATTGATACATGTTTGTGACGCGATCAGGATGAAATATACAAATCAGTAGAAACTATTAAGTTACTGGATGACTCATTAGAATATCTAATAAAAAACCTTCGTGGACAGTGAATCCATTAGACTCTCTGAAACCGAAACATTTTGAACGATGTCATTACGTCACATCCTCAGCGTAACAAACTGAAGGAAGACCGAAAAATAATATACCCCTATAAAGTGTTCTAATTTTTCATATTCACCGATCTGGGAATCTCAAATCCAGAATCCAACTTTGATTGAGGGGCCAGATAACTCAATATAGCGAGTAAGGTAATGGGTGGACTAAGGGGTCCCTCTTCGAATCACGGCTGGATCAAGACCGGCTGTGGTCCTTCTATCCAATGAATTTCGGGGATCTATCCCAGATGTTAAACTACCTCAATATGATGCTAACCACTCTTCTACATCTATTGAAAAGTGAAGCGTATGTGGAGCTTTACTTCTACTCCCCCATACGTCACACTTACTGTGCTCTATCAAAGACAATGATAACTTTGCTTTTTTACTTTCAACCTTTGATTTGGATCTGTCACCAAGAGAAATGCACGGTTATTAATTTGGAAGTGGGCGATCGATCTTACACGTTCTTTTAACTGTTCTCCGCAAGTAAAAGCGATTAGATTCTGTCGGTTTATAAATCAGATAAATTCATATTTTATTTAAGATCATGAATTACTCTATAATTTTAATTCTACTATACAGAACAGTATATATTCTCAGTTTTTAACTCTTGCATAAAAAGACTTTCATGTGTAGATACAAGCGAACCAACGTATGATTGCCCGCTGCCAAAACGCAGACCACTCTGTGACGTACGGTGGAGCAGGAGGAAAGCCATTGTCTGACGTCACAGGCCGTGTAGCTCTCCGCACTTCTCTCACATAATCTTCTTCAATGACGTGTCAAGAGAACAATAGAGGGCCTCGCCTTTCGGGGGCAATCATTAGTTGGCCTCTTCATATAAAGTAGTGTAAAAGTGACAAGCAAAATGCATCTAGAAGACGTAGGAAGAATAATTTCAACATAGTCCTACTCATTTCACAATGATGAAGCAGGAACATCTTCCTAATCGTGCGTAGGTCACGATGACAAAGCAGGAAATACTAATCATTATTTACAAACTGCAATAAAATATAAGTGACGTATAACAATTTTGTTCTTTTTTGCTTGTCCACTCCATTCAGATAATTGAAGATGCTTAATTATATCTCAAAACGTAAGATTTTCGGGCACCAGATTCATGTTTCTCTTTTTTTCTCATGCGTTTTGTTCGAGACATAGTTCGCAAGTTGGCACTAACTTCGCCGACAAACGGTGGTCGCTCCGTCGCTATGTTTCGCTTGCGGACTAAAGCCACGAAGTTGGTTTTTATTACATTCAAGAATTTTAAAAATAAACGGATGTAGTTTTTATTGTAAAGACGGTGTTATTCTTGTGTGATTTGAAACAAAACTGGATTAAAGGGACCAGTGTTAGTAGAACTCCCCAGTAAGTATGAAATAGGCCACGCTATAGCTCAAGGGGTTATTCGCTGGCTCCCAACCGCGGCGGCCCAGGTTCGAGCTCTGCTCTGGTCAAGTGGGATTTGTGGTGGACAAAGTGGCGGTGGTGCAGGTTTTCTTTCCCTTGCCAATCTTCATTCCACCAATTGCTCCACAATCACCCTCACCTATCATCTTGGGCTGGTACAATAAGCCAGAAGTGGCCGCAGTACAAGGGACTTAGTTCCACCCCACTAGCAATAAAAAAATTATGTAATTTCTGAAATATTCTTTCTTCAGCAGTCCTGGAGTTTTTGCAAGCGGACAAACGAACAAATAAATAGGAAGACAGCCATATCAAAATTCATGTCCGAATTCTTGCAGTTCATCTTCGTGAGTATGCAAGAAATTACGAAATATATACAAGTATATTGACACTGTTCCGACCGCTTCTCATCCGTGACGTATGATAGGCCCATTGTTCATCTCCATCCACCCTGCAGTCTCTTCGCGGTATTTAAATGTTATAATATTCCACAAATTTAAACGGCGCTTCCGTAGATCAGCTTATCCTCTTTAGCGAGCATCATAACAAGGGACGGTATCCGCCGACCTACAATTATAGGCAACATTTCATGCTCTGTGTACCGATGTTGCCATGACGACGAAATTAAAAGAAAATTTTAGGTCTGGGATCGAGGGTGAGGTAAGTTGGGATGGGTTGAGTTGGTTGCTTCTGCTCCATTTCATATTCCACTATCCATTAAATAACAAATGTATTAACTTATCAAGCTTATGAAGTCCATGGAGAAGACATTCATACTAAAAATTGATGTCTTTCCAAAATAATTCGGAATAACCAGGCGTAGATAGTAGAATCCTAAAAGAAGGGTATCAATAAAAATATCTGTTGTGCAGGAATTAACTGTGTTCAGTTTGGTGAACATAATGTCTAATGGCAGGTTTTTGTTATGATTGTAATGAACCTTCAGGATGCCATGCGTTATCCTCACGCTATTATTTCTTTGAGGTTTAGTTTAAACTCATTTTCCCATCTATTCTCTAATCCAGATTAACACGTTCCCAGAGGATTCCCCTTAAATTTTATAGTCCTACCTTCTTTTCCAGTCTGAGCTACTTTCTAGTCTCTGCTGATTATCCTAATTCAGTGGTTCCGCATAGAAACAATCAGGTTATGGTAAAAATTAATTTATACCATTTTAGGCTTCATGGATTCTGAACCTACTCTTCGGTAAAGTACCGTAGTTCGTGTGCAGATATTACCAAATATCGTGGCCATGCTACACATGGTGTAGTCTCTTGAGGTTCATTCTTGGTGGGACATGCAGCACGCATGAACAAGAAAAATCTTTGCAACTTTATTGTAGGATGTCTGTAAGGGAGGAGGTTACTTGAGAGACATACATGCATACACGAGGATAATATTAAACTGAATGTTAATTAAACGTGTAGTTTGGATGTGCAGTGGTTGCATCTCACTAAGAATTCACTCCAACAGTGGAATCTTGTAAACATGTCAAAATATAGCATAATTATTTTTCATTAATATTAATTTATTTAATTTTAATTGTATTTGTAAATCGGAGTTGCATTGGCTTCATTGTGTGTTGTGTGTCCTTTATTGGTTGAGTAGTTTTGTGCGCTGTGAGTTCTTTGGGTGTGGTATGTGTTTGTGTGATGTGTCTCATTGCAGTATTTGCAGTTTAAAAGTAAATAATTATAATGTGTTAGAACTGGGATTCTCTGGCGCGTAAGGCTGACAACTTTACCGCCATCTTTCTGCTGATTGTCTAGATAATGTGGGACCCTCAACTTCTCAGAAACCTATGGGACTTCGCGACCTGTTACAGGATTACCTGTTACCTGTTGCTTACTTACTTTACTTTTAGAACTGGGATTCTCAGGGTTGTAACTATGAAGAATATGTGAAGACGTCTAGTCTGGTAGAAGTTTACCGATGTGCAGGATTCGGCGAGTATATCACTGCTTCTCTGTATGGACACATACTCCCTATTAATGAACTGCGCCTAGGTCCTGAGTTTGGCCCATTCCCTTAGGTGCTCTGATTAATGTGCAAAAAAGTTCTTTTCATTTCCATGCGTGCTGCAGTCCCTGTAAATTTCGTAGTCCTTGATTCCCTCAGTGTAATAATCTGTAGCTTTAAGCACAAATTATGAAGCTTTTCATTATTTAATTTTATACGGACTTTATATTTTTTCTTATGTTAATTCTAAGTATTTTCCTCAGTACAGTATTTCCTAAACTTGCTAC